AGCGTCCAGAGAGGAATGCAGTGCTGCCAACATCTTGATTTTAGCCCAGTGAGAGCTGTAGCAGACTTCTGACCTGCAGGACCATAAGATAATAAATTTGTGCTGTTGTAAGCCGCTAAGTTTGTGGTAATTTATTACAGCAGCAATTGGAAACGAATACAGCCAATATATCTAGATTGATAGCAGTCAAAAAGCATTACCAGAGAGAAAACCTTTCGTAATGGGGGAAGGTTCCATTCCCCAGGAAAACATAACAATTTTAAACATGCACGCATAATTACATGGCCTCTCTGCTAATGTTCCAATTCTATGTAGAGAATCAGAAAACATTTTTGGGGGGCATTGAGGAAGACCTAAATAAATGGAGAGATACTGAGTTCATCAACTGAAAAACTCGATACGATAAAGATGACACTTCTCCCCAAAGTAATTTATAAATTGCATGCAATCTCAATCAGAATTTCATCAGGTGGTTTTTGTTGTTTGTTTGCTTTGATTTTTGTGGAACTTGACAAGCAGATTAAAATTTTATATGGAAATGTAAAGGTCCAAAAATTGCCAAGATATTGGGAGAACTTGCTCTACAAGGTATCAAGATTTATTATAAATTATAGTAAAATAAGGCAGTATAGTATTGGCATAAGGATGACAAATAGACTGACGGAACAGAATAGAGAGCCCAGGAACGGACCCACACATGCATAGTCACTGTGTAAGACAGAGATGCAGTGGGGAAAAGATGGGCTTTCCAATAAATGCTGCTGGGACATTTAGGTATCCATGTGGGAAAAAATTCCCTATCTCACACCACACACAAAAAGCACCTCTAGGCTTAAATGTGAAAGACAACATTTAAAGGTTTTAGAAATTAATGTAGGAGAATATGACTTCAAAGGTAAGGAAAGAACTTTAAAATGATATAAAAAGTACCAACTGTAAATAAAAAGATTGATACATTTGAATATATTAAAGAACTTTTGTTCATCAAAAGATAGCATAAAACAAGCAAACAGAGCAAGGTACAGAAATGGGAGAAGATATTTGCTACACATATAATTAATAAAGGACAGCATATGAAAATGCCTTCAAATGAGTAAGAGATAATCACATTGAAAAAATGGGCAAAAGACTTGAATAGGGACTTGACCATAGAAAAAATATCAATGACCAACAAACACATGCAAATATGCTCAACCTCATTATTAATCAGGGAAAGAACAAGTTCTAACCACAGTGAGATGCCATTAGCCGTCCTCCAGAGTGGCTAAAATGACACCGTTTGGTAACAGCAATTGTTGGTGAGGGTGTAGTGCAGCAGTAACTCCCAGGACTGCTGGTGGTGAGTTGGTGCGTTCACTTTGGAAAACAGTTTGGCATTATCTAGCAAAGCCAAAGATACACATATCCCGTGATGTTATTCTACTGCCAGGTAGGTGCCCTTAAAGATCCCCTAGGATATGTATAGCAGAGTAGTCAAAGCCCTACACTGAATACAACACAGCATCTATCTACAGTAGAAAAAATCAGTCCGTCATGGTATATCTTACAATGGACACCGTACAGCAATGCAAGTGAGCAAATCGCAGCTCTACTCGGCAACGTAGATGAGTCTCATAAAGATAATACCGAGTGAAAGAAGTAAGGTGCAGAAGAATATATACAGTATGATTCCTTCATCTAAAGTTCAAAACCAGGCTAAATGAAATTATATTGTTTAAAGGATGCCTACACAGCTGGTAAAACTATAAAGAAAAGCAAAGAAATTATCATCACAAAAGTCAGGATAAGTGGATACCTACCCAGGATAGTGGACAGTGGGGAGGGAGGAGTTTATGACCAGGAGGGGACAAATACCAGGGATCGGGAAGGGGGGAGGGGTTCTGGGAGTAACAGATGCGTTTATTTCTTGACCTGGATGGTGGTATATAGGTTTTCCCTTCACGATAATTCATTATGGTATATATTTATGTTTTGGGCCCTTTTTGCATATACCTTATATGTTAGATATACTTTATATGTTAAATATACATAAATGATATATAACAAGTTAAAAATAAAGAAGAACCCTGATAGTAGAAATAGGTTGGTCTGCATCAGGATGATCATCTAAGAAGCTATTGTAGTTAACCTGGGTTTAATAAAGATGTTAAGGGGCCAGCATCGCTGGCTCCTCTTTTTAAGGGAAGCTGTTGAGCCAAAGCCCTGGTGACAGACAGTGACTGGATTTTCTACCACGTGATCCTTATTTCTCTGGCTACAGATAGGAATGCATACATAAATGGTAGGACTATACAGCAAAGCAAGGAAGTGTTTTATCATGCAGTCAGGATAGTGGATACTTCTGGACTGGAGCTGGGCACCGGACCCGGGAGCAATTGATGGGGAGGCACCCCTTTCTCTCATCTTTTCATCTCCATAGATAAGGCAACTTCTGCACAAAAGGGGTATGTACTAATCACATTTCCAGCTTCCTAAACAATGGGGACCAACTCTGGTTAGTTAGAAAAGGAATGTGTTGAAAGGACACTGAGTGGCTCACAAAATTGATGGAAAAGCTGAAGAATGAAGATTGGAACATGGACAGGAGCCATGGAAATTAGGCAGCCAAAAACAGAGACCAAATCAATACACAGGAAGAATCTGGTCAGTAGCCAACAGCTTCTGTCATTGGCATGGCCCACCCTTGCATATTGGATGCTCCGTTATTGCTTCCTCCACCATCTCTGGAAATTTCGATTCTAAACTGCCATTTTCGTCTCTGATTACTCACTCCAGAGTCAAGGGCTTAGGTAGGAGCATCTGGTTGGAATTTCACATGCCCAAATTCTAGAGACAAGGGAGCTGGAAAAGGGGCAGTTTGCCCACACCTGAGCTTCTTTATTGGAATTCCCTCCAAATAGGAAGTGTTTAGATACTGGGCAGCCAAAAATGAAAAACACCTATCACAGGGACTATCAGAAATAAACATATCTGGCTCCCACAGGGAGGAGGAAAGAGTAATATGATTAGTTAAGATCTGTGAAATTCACTGGGCCATGTTTTTCCTGGGGAACAAGAGATTGTGCTCAGAGTCATTGAGTTGAAAGGCAGCCAGGCTGTCTCTTCCTTCTGCTTGGCAGTGCACCAGTCTCTCTTTTCTAGTTTCTCTGCCTGTGATTGGAAATGGGGAGAGGGATGTCATTCTGATCAGCTCTGCACTCCAGGCTAAGCTATCTTCAATTTAGGAAGGTGGGAAGTGACCTCACCACCATCTCTCATCTGGCCATTAACAGAGAGCCCTACAAGTATATGTTTTTGGGTGTCTAACCAACCATGAAGACAGCTGACATCTGGATTCCTGTTTGGCTATGATCTGTCTTCATTATCATGCAAAAACCTGTAGAACTGGCATAAATAAATTTAAGAACAAACCCAACTGACTCCTGGTAAATATACAACTTAGCTAGTGGGAACAGAAGTGTGTGGGCATCAGTTAATTTATTTTACAGAGGAAATGAAAATTGCTAAGTTAGGCAAGTTGGATTAAATGCAGATTAGTTAACTGCGCTTCTGCTTTAAATAGTTAAATATAAGACATTCATTAAGAAGGTGCATTATTGAAAGTCTAAATGATTTGGCTTCTTGGACAACCAATTTAGGAAAGCTTGTATGTTTTGTTGTTGTTGTTTTTTGGTGAGGAAGATTGTCCCTGAGCTAATATCTGTTGCCAATCTTCCTCTTTTTGCTTGAGGAAGATTAGCCCTGAGCTAACATATGTGCCAATAGTCCTCTATTTTGTGTGTGGGATGCCGCCATAGCATGGCTTGATGAGTGGTGTGTAAGTCCACACCCAGGATCCAAACTGGCGAACCTTGGGCCATTGATGTGGAGCGTGCAGACTTAACCTCTATGCCACCTGGCTGGCCCCACTTATCTGTTTTAAAAAACTCCTTGAGCAAGCAAATGCCTTTCTAGAAACAGGCTCTTCTCTGGTCAACATGGGTACTATTGATGTCTTCAGACTGAGCTCCTGGATTCTGGACATTAGTCTGTCCTAATTCCTGGTTATCCCATCCTACCTCTGCCCTGATCTCCTAATTGGACTTTTGACCTTAAAGACCTTGGTTTGCATCAGTGAACTGATACCTTACATTCCCTTTGAGGCTCCCCTTCCTAGGTACCTGGTTCCTCCAGTCTCTAGCCTTTTGGGGATTCTTCAGGGCAAACTGACTTGCCTTCCTGACTCTGCAGGAGGTCGGGTTTCGGCTTCTGTGCTCTAAGTCAGTTACCCACTCATCCATTTGCTTTCCATTTTCCAAACTTCTGATGTTTTTTCATCTGTTTTCTCCTATATTTGTCTTTGAAGGGTTTATAGCTTTTAAAAAAAAATTATCATTCCTTTACTCTCAGTTCCTGGGGGTTCTGAAGAGAACAGAATCACTGCTTGTCTTCTGTACTTCATGTCTGGCCTTTTCTCTGCATTGGCAGCTCTCCGTTTTCTAAACCCTTGATTTCCTGGTTCTCTAGAAAATAGGAGCCTCCATTTTGAGCTTTCTCGACAATTTAAAACAGATATCGACCTGGCCTTTTCCTGGGACTGCCTAGCAGGGCCCTATTTGTTCTGTGGTTAATATGAAGTCAGAAACAAGTCAATGTGAATTAGCTTTTGTAAATAGCAATTAAAAATTCAGGAATATTTTGGGATAAAGGTTAAGTGCGATTAGTTTAAAGTCAAGCTAACTCTGAGAAATTTCCTCTTGATTGGAAAATAAGACTCAAAAGGTCAGATGAGCTTTTCTTCTTTGACTATGAAGGAGAATATTTAGGGACTGGCAGTTCAAACTTTTCATTAGAACAAGAGGGCAGTGTAGCATTTCCTAAACTCACAGCAATTATATTTTGTACAATTGCATCGGCTCCTTGTTTCGAAATCCTTTTTTGGAAGGTGAGTGGCATTTAAATAATTCTTTCCATCTATTATACGTATATAACTTTTCCATATATTTGTCTTGTTTCTGCAGAAGTAGAATCAGTTCTTTGAGGGTGGAGAATGTTTCTGACACCTCCTAGCATCTCTGAGTGCCGGAGCGTAGGAGCTTACCATAAGGGCCAGGTACTGTGCATGTCATCGATTGTCTAACACCTATGAGGGAGGAATTATTGTTACTCTAATTTTATAGGTGAGGAAACTGGGGCAAGCTACACAGCTTGAGTAAGAGGTAGAGTTGGGACTGACTCCACTTGGCTGATTAACCTGGTTAGCTAGGTCCTACCCTAGTATCCTGCAGCATTTGCCTTCGGTGAACAGGTAAGTTGCTCTCTGGAGAGACGGATGTGGGACTTCATGGAGCTTACAGAATAGGCTGTATGACTTCTTGCTAATAAATGTTTGATGCATTTGTCCTGAGGCTATCTTCCACTGTAACATACCTTCTGGGGCAAGTTTGTGGAGAAGCCCTATAGCTCAACTTCTCTCTTAACTAGTGGAGGCTACTGATGTCTGCCCAAAAGCAGCTAATAAATGTGAATGACTCCATTGACTTAGGTTAATTTGTAACGTCCTTCTTCCTTAGTTATCTCCAACTAGAAGAAACCTAGTCCTGGAGAGTGAGATAATGTCTTGTGAAGATTTATTGTACACTTGCGTGTAGTCACTATTGGGGCTATCGTCTCTGACGTGAAGCCCTCCCTGCAATGTGTGAGCATTCGGGACATAGGCAAGCCTCTGGGCTGAAAGTTAAAACAACCATCAGTTAGAAATTTAATGTCTCCAAGTGCTATAGATCTCCTGGCGTTTCCAGTTCCAGTGGAACGGAGTTACGATCAAGACACTGGAGGTAAAATGACTCCAGTGGAAAGGAGATATGATCAAAGCCACGAGCATCAAGGCAATTCTGCCCTGGGGACCGTGTCTCTCTCCTTCTCTGCATCATCTCTTATGTCCCCATGGATGCTCCCCTATTGCAAGTAGCTCCAAGTTCCAAAAACACTGGAAATTTTTGGCCTAGTTGGTTGTTTCATATCACAGCCAGCTTGTGAATTGCAGGTCTATTTAAATTTTGTGGTGAGAAGAACAGAACTGGTACTTTCAAAATGTCTTGAAAAGTGAAAAATATATGTGAACATAAATAATGAATCAAGAACAATAGCCTTTGGGGGCCGGCCCGGTGGCGTAGCAGTTAAGTTAACACGTTCTGCTTTGGTGGCCCGGGGTTCACGGGTTAGGATCCCGGGTGTGGACATGGCACCACTTGGCAAGCCATGCTGTGGTAGGCATCCTACATGTAAAGCAGAGGAAGATGGGCATGGATGTTAGCTTAGGACCAGTCTTCCTCAGCAAAAAGAGGAGGATTGGCAGCAGATGTTAGCTCAGGAATAATCTTCCTCAAATAAAACCAACAAAAAACAATAACCTAAGTATTGAGTATATATTATCCAGTACAATTGATGAAACTATACACCATACTCTCCAGATGGATTTCACACAAACTTTTAATTTCACAATCATTTGAAAAGTGATATGCACAGTTAAGGTAAAATTTTGTTTCTCTTTTCCTCCTAGTCCATCTACCTAGTCCACCTAGAAACAGTGCTGTCTGATAGAACTTTACAGAAAGTTCTAATCTATGCTGTCCAATAAGGTATCTACTCGTCATATGTGACTACTAAGCACTTGAAATGTGGCAAGTTCAACTGAGGAACTGAATTTTTAATCATATTTAATTAATTTAAATTTAAACAACCACTTGTGACTGGTGGCTACCATATCAGTCACAACAGATGTAGAATATGGTGATGACCTTATAACAGGATAGTCTAGGTTTTGTTGTAGCCACAAAGAACTCTAAAATCTTGGTGACATAAGAACAAGGGTTTATTTCCTGCTTGTGTTATATACCCATTTTGGGTTGGGGGGACCCAGGTGGATAGAGCAGCCACCATGTCACATGTTGCCAGTCATTTCATAGAGTCTTGCACTAGCACTTAAATGCTCTGGCCCAGCAGGGACACATGTCACTTCTGCTCACAGCTCACTGACCAGGATTAGTCACACGGTCCTACCTAAACAGGGAGCCAGGAATGCAGTCCTAACCATATTCCAGGGGGACACAGAGCCTCAGACATTAACCTCCATTTCAAAATATAGAAAAGGAGTTCCCTAGGGGTAAAGAAAGTAGTATTGTGTTTTCTTGAAAAGTGGAGAATTGAGTTTCTTTAGAATTCAATTATTCAATACATCCTTATACTTATTAGAACAGATTTTTAAAAGCAGGTGAGAGGTGACGCAAAGAGTAAAACAAGCATTTTGATAAAAAGTTTATATAAGTGAAGTTAGAGCTGACAAATGTCAGCAAATGTCTTTTTAGTTCTACAGAGAAATATCATTTAATATGAAGATCTGCAATGTAAGAAACAATAGATTTTTTTTTAATGTTTGGGATGGAATGGAAGAAAATGTATTTGTTATTTTTCTTGGCGCAGGATATATTTGGTACGTTTTTCATTAGCAAGGAATAAAAAGTCCTTTCCTTTAAAAAATAATAAATTTCTCACTAGAAATATTTGCGGATTGTGGTTGCCTGAAAAAATTTAAACATTTATTAACTGGACAATTGATTGTTTCTTTCCAGACTACACTGTGGAATCAGAATCATCTAGTCCAACATTTAACAGCATGCCTTGAATTCTTTCTAGAATATCTACAAGATTGTTTGAACAGCTCCAGACATGGGGGACTCGCCATCTGATATCTGATAACAGACTTCCTATAAAGCAGGAAGGATGGTTTCCTGATGACAAACGCTTCAGTATCAAGACATGGAAAGATAGCACTTGGCTGCCAATAACGAATTGCACCAAAGTTACAAATGCGAACCAAGTCCTGGTAAATAATATTAATGATGATGACCATTTTGTCTCATGCTAAAAATGTCATATAGATCTTAGCATTATGAGGATACTATGGATATCCTTCCAGAATGTAATCAAACCAAACTGATGCTCAAGAGAAACTTTGAACTAAACGTGTAAATTAGGCTACCAAGGATAAATAAGAACTACCTAAGTCACTCTGTTCCTCAGTAGAACACAATCATAGAAGCCTTTTATGCAGGACAGTGTTTGTTTTTAGTTTCCGGGATCTATCTGAGTAGTTTATAACTGGTGGCAGGGACAGAAAGAAAAGGCTGCAAAGATTGAACAAACAGCATGCACTGTGGTATCCTTTATTTAAAAATTGTGAGCTAACTATAGTTGTAGTGTTCTCATTTACCATTCTGATGGCATAATGAACTGGGAGAACATTAACACAATTTCAAGAAGGCATTAAAAACCTGTCAACAAACATACACACCACACATGCGCACACACATGACACACACACAAATAAGATTATAGTCTAACACAAAAGTGATGAAGAAAAGCTTTGAATGCTCTAAATCAAATTAAAAACCCTTTATTATAATAAACTGTGAATACGGTGGCTATTATGAAAAATATTGTAACTGTTTAAAAAGCAAAAAGGAAAAATACTGGCAGTTTGAAACTAGCAGCAAAAAGCAGATAAAAATAGAATGGAAGATAACATAAGACTAAGTAACACCAAAATTCTAATGTTGATACCGTGTAGGATTGCACTGAAGTAATTTCAAATTGGTTCTCAAGGAACTACTAACAAGTCCCTTGGAATATTAACTTGCTGTACTTTACGAACAGTGGAAAAGAAAAAAGTATTTGGAATGTTACACACACACGCAGATGAAATGTATTAGGCATATCAGTTATGGTCTTTGTTTACGACCTTCAAAAAGTTTTATCAAGAAAAATTTAAGTGCCAATGTAGTGAAAGAAAGTTAAAAATCCCTAAAGATGCAAGTCTGAGTGCATTTCCCAGGTCTCAGAATGTATTTCACGGTGGGGGCAAGGCCTGACTGATGCACATTCAAGAAGAAAAACATCGTGGAGCCCAGAAGGCAGGTCGAGCTCTCTGGAGAGTGTCTAGAATGCAGGTGTATTCAACTCAGACTATCTTGAAGGAGATTCCAGAGTATGTCGCGTTCTACAGCTTTCCATCAGTTGAAATGTTTCATCATGGCCAATAAATAATTAAGACTGACTTTCAGCAAACTGGTTTTTCATACATTCAAACATAAAAATCTTCACCACACATGCAGGACTGATATTCTATAACAGCACAAATATGAATCCTGGTTTAAGAAGAAAAGCACATTAGCAAGGATTTTTTTTTTCACGGTTCTTATAAAAAAATGTCTGAAGCTGCTAGACATCTGCAAAGAGGGGATAAGTTTAGATTTCCCACTGATTTTGGAAGAAGGGAGGTTCTATTTTCCTAAGGAAGCCAAAGTAATCCATGAGCAGGGGACCTGTCTTCAGAATCTAAGAAGCGTAATGTCCTTAGTTCTTAAACTCATGGCAAGTTCAGATCCAGAAAAACTGGCAGGTAGAACGGGGGAGAGAAAGGAAAAGTCTGAATGTCTACAGTATACTTTGGAATCAAATGTGCCTTGTAAGTTAAAATGGCTCAACTGCTTTCAGAAAGAAGTGCTGCAGGACTGGAGAAGACCCAGTTCTCTGGAGCCAGGAGCTGGGAGAGCGCCCTCCATCTCCAGGGGCCCTCTGGGCTGAGCTGTGGCTGGCGGGCCCAGAGCCCTGTTTGGGCCTTTGTTTTCACGAGTGCTTTCGGTTGGGGAATGTATGACTTTGCCTAGATAACTATTTCTTTTGGTTACTTTCTCTCTAAATTCAACTGGTCAGGCAAGTTACTGATGATTTCCCAAAATAAATCCAGCTGCACTGGTATCTTAAGGTGCCAGCTAATTCAAATTAATGCCCATCAATACTGCTGCCAGGTATCAACTGCTGTTGCTGAAGAATCAACCCCCAGATGGCCTAACTAGATAATCTACCACACTAGGTGCGTTTACTATCTTGGATTTTTTGAGCTTTAGAGAAATAGTCTTTGTAATATGACTTAGGAACTGCTTCTCCCTGGCTTTGTTTCACTCCTCCTCCTCTTCCTCCTCTTCCTCCTCCCCTTCCCCTTCTCCTTCCTCCATGGTTTCCACAATGAGCTCCGCTGTGCAGGTGGCTTCTCCAAGACTGTTGACAGCCTTGCAGGTATACTTGGCATCGTCATCCCCGCAAACATCGCTAATGATTAAAGAGCAGTTCCCATCTTCGTCGTAGTCTATCTGGAAGTGGCGGGACTCCCTGATTGACTGGTCATCTTTGAACCAGACGACCTCAGGGTCTGGGTATCCTGCATCACAGGGAGAGAACACACGTTGCAGACACTGTGATTGAAAATTTCTTATGAATTCATGCAAGCAACTCCTAATCTGCCTCTATTGATTATGGGGGTAAAGGAAAAAAATTATGTTAGCTTTTAGTATCTGCTTTGATATTGACATTTGAATATGGGCATATATTATCAATACAAATATCTGAAACCTCAGATAAGGTATCTTACAGTCATTCCATTTCCCATCCATGTGGGGCCTGCACCACCTCCCGCCTTCACGCAGATAAAGAATACTACATGGAATGCCACCCCAACGCCAGCTACACACCTAGAGCTAAATATCTTCTTGGATGAAAAGAAGATTTTTTATCTTGTATAAAAGTTGAACTTAAATAAACTTAAATAAAAAATAAGAGTCAGAATAACTGGGCACAAGGGATCTTTTGGGGGTGATGGAAATGTTCTAAACTTGAGTTGTGGTATCAGTCGCACAACTCTACAAATTTATTAAAAATAATTGAGTTATATGCTTAAAATAGGCGTGTATTTCCATGGTTTGTAAATTATAACTCAATAAAATTGATAACAGCTATATAAAACATAAGTTAGAGGAAGTGATAATATTGCTAAGAAAAAAACCCCCAATATTTGTCTTAGTCTGATCCAAAGATAGATAATCTGCCTGTAGATAACTGGAAATTCACTACATTGATTAGTCTCATGTTTCTGCAAAATTCAGCATTAAAAATATATGGGAAATATACATTTAAAATATATAATAATTCCAATTGACTTGTTCTTAAATTTTGGAAAAGTATTTTTACAGGAAAACAATTGTAGCCCCAACCAGAATAAAAATTTACAAAGAAGAACTTAAGAATCCTAACATTCTTTTTTGGTAGAAATTTGTTTTTATCAAAACAGCATCCATATGCTTTAGTTTCTCTTCAGGACTCTAGTTGACGTTACGCAAATTCCAAGGAAATAATCCCAAAGAGAAAAGCAACCACAAAGATGATAATCAGTATGTTATAATAATTTTTAAAAAATAAAAAAAGGAAAAAGGAAAGAACTTCAGAAGACCCAAAGACAATGGTGATGGAGAGAGTGACAAGCAGTGGCCCAGAGCCTTCAGCAGAATCCCCAAGCGGAGCACTTCCACACTAGCAAAGGCAGCACATCCACTTTTTTTTTTTAATTGAATGAAAAAAGAGAAAGATTATGGTAGGCATTTGCAAGGCATTTTGATAATATAATGACGCACGAGGAAAATTCTTTTTTCATTCCTAACTTTGGGTTACTTTTCCTAAAAGGCGTTATCTAGTCATACTGCTGGAGACTCTTACAGAGTGGGAGGCACGATTTGTTCTGACTGCGGTCCTGTGCTAGGCAGCCTGGGGAAAGCTGCTTCATGAACTCCTGCGCTTCATTTGCTCAGACTGAAATGGGCGATAGCCCTCCATTTGGTCGGCACACGACAGTCACAGACTTGAAGAGGCCTGTCTTGTCTCTCCTAATTTCTCAGGTGCTAGGCTAAGATCCCGAAAGGTTCCTTGAGCTCCAACAACTCACGATTCTACAGCCACATTATTCCTGGCAGCAGAGGAGAAGTGTGGAGAAGACACACAAACTGAGGGCTTTGCCCAGATGCCTGGGTCCCAACTTCCCTGTGTGAAGTCACGTAGCACGCTCGCTTTCAGCATTTACCAATCCCACAACTTTCTCCTTGACTCCATGACATCTTTAAAAGACTTTAAAAGTTTCCCCTTTGCACATATGTCGTCTCACAGAATCCCCAGAGCCACTCAGGGCGCCAGACATCATATTACAGCTGAGGGTCTGAGGCTCACAAGAGTTAGATCACTGACCAAGGTCACACAGCCCGCTGATGCACAGCAGAGCCACCAACTCCACATCCGATGCCCTTTGTGCCAACCTTCCTTTGAGAGCTTCCTGTGGCCAGTTCACATACTTCCCAGAAGCTTGTTTCATTAAGCATGCGCCATAGCCAAATTAGGTCCATGATAAACCACTTTTAACTTGGGCCTACATAGCAAATGTGCCCCAGGTTAGTCCCTGAAGGGTGTTAACCTTCTGTGGGTGGGCCTGGGGACGGGAGCCAACTCCTCCTGACCCAGTTTCCCTCATAGCCTGGCTGTTGTAATTGCCAGGCTGCCCAGAACTGACACCTCACCCAGGGCACACAGTAGGGGCCCATCAGCCAGCCACACCACTTTTTAGTAAAGGGAAGAACAGCCACAACTTACCTTCAATCTTGCAGTCAAATCTAGCAGCACTCCCCTCCACGACTTCTAAATCACGAATGGTCTTAGAGAAATAGGGCTTTACATGGGGCTTTTCCTCAGCAACAGCCTCAAGGAAAGCCTGGGAGACATCTTCTAGAAGACAGGGAAGAGGATGTGGTCATTTCTTCATTCCTTGTTCTCCCCTATTCCCTAGTTTAGAAAAGCTGGCTTTTTAAGTTTTTTTTTAAGTTGCTATCATTTAGCAAATAATGCAGTTGAGAGGCCTGAATCATAAGCAGCCCTCTCTCCCGGGGACAGGTTGGCCTGCTGCCAAATGCTTTTGGCAGATGAGAGAACTGTGACCAAACTGGGGAAATGTTTGGAACCCCCCCTTCCCTTATGCTGACACATTGAAAAAGGAAATAATCTTTAAAAAGGATTTTTGGCTGCATTTCATGCTGTTTCAGGATTCAGTTGAGGGCATCTCAGAAGGACGAACCTGACCAGTCTTCCTGGTCTCTGAACCCCCTCTGCCCTCCTCGGGAGAAGCCAGGTCCTAGAGGCATCTTCGATTTGCCAGTAGTTCTATCCTCCTCACTTACACTGCCTTCACCTCGTATGACTGCGGACCAGGGTTTGGGATCGGTCTAGGGAAGAGCTGTAACTTGCAGGGGCTCCTGTGTCTTCTTCCTCCCCTTCAGGCTATTCTGGGTCATCTGGGCAGTGGCAGGAGGGAATCAGGAGGGATCAGGCCCATGTGCTGCAGACTTCGTCCCTGAACACATCCGAGCAGCCCAGCAAGTGGCCTCGCCAATTACCCTGCCTTTGTGCACAAAAGGGATCTAGACTCAGCTTCTCACCCTTGGATATCAAAGGCACCAGGCAGAGGGAGGCAGAAGGGTGTCTCTGGCTAGATGAGGCACCTCAAGAAGATAAGGGCCAGACCCCGCCTGCATCTGAAGCAGAAAGAGGCCGAGGCCTTCACGGAGGAGGTGGACGGGGCGGCCTGTCAAGGACACTGGGCAAGTTAACTAACCTGACTGGTCTCTAGGTGGGGCCCTGCCAGTCACTGTCCACCCAGTTCAGACGGCATGCTTCAGCATCATGAAAAACGCCAAACGGACGTGGACTATATGAGTTAATTTTTGTTTAAAAGAAAAACACAGTAAAAAAAATGGATGGCTATTTTTAAAAAGTATACTGCTATAGGTGGTTTTTATTGTATGTTTGCCTATCAATATACAAATATCACTTGAAAATATCAAGAAAAAGGAATATCATAAATATCACAGAAGGAAGGAACAAATAGCACAGAAAAAGGAAGCTTTTAATAAGACCTTTGCTAATTCTTATGTAAAATATAGGGAAAAGAATAGTGAAGGTCATCTAGTCCTATTAGACAAATGATTACTTTCCCTCTGCAAATAGTTAAACCTAAGATTAAACAAATAGTTAAACCTAAGATTAAACAATTAACAAGTAATGACTAGACTTAGTGATTGTTGTCAGGGCAACCAAAAAGTAGCTCTGAATTTTATCCTTTAGGTTGTATTATAAAAAAACAAAAAACAAAAATCCCCTCCCCCTCAAGACCCCAAAATGCCCCTCCAACCCCCAAGCCGTCCTTTCTCACCAACTGGTTGGAGAAAATCTTCCTGGAGCTCCTTACCTTCAGATTCTAGTTTTTCTGCATTGAGCGGGCTGGTTGGTGACCCTGTTGAGGATTTCCTGCCACTGAGCCCTGAGATCATTGCCATAGAGGACAGCCTTCCAATGGCTCTCACAGCATTGCCCGTTTTCTGGAAAAGAGACACTGGAGTTGGACTCAGGCGGGGTCCCTGGTTCCAGTTGGGCAGTGGGGCTCGGGGAGAACAGCCCAGCCCAGGAGAAGCGGCTGTCCCGGAGACAAGGGCCTCCCGAGTGCTGAGGTCCTGCAAGAGGAGTGAGCCCAACCTTGCTCTGCTCAGCACTATCAGCGTGTCAGAAGATGTTCGGAGAATGGAATGGGGCCTGGAACCGATGTGTGCGTTAATGTGACTAAACAAGGTCAACATGAGACAAAAACCCTTTTCATAGTGTGCTTCAGCTCCCATAAAAGGGATAGTTTATATAAAGCAACTGCAGGCTGAGACAGCTCCAAGACTTATTGCTGACGGGGCCCAGTGGGCTGTTTCTCGTAAAACAATGCTAGCGATAGGATTTTAATTGGTCAAGAGGATAGTTACTACAGATCCCACAGGTCCTGATGTAAAAAAAAAAAGTTCATTTTCTTGACCTTGTGCAAGTCGCTTAACCTCTCCGGGCTTCAGTTTCCTTTTCTGTTTAGGGAGGGGGCAGATGATCTCCAAGGTCTCATTTAGTTCTGTTTATAAAAGATTCAGATACTTAAGAGATTTCGGGAAATGCTCTGGCTGGCCTCAGCACGAGTGTGTGAACGCACAGTGAAGTTCTAGAAGGGTGTTCTTCTCTCATGGACACCCAGACACCAAAAAGAAGCACCCGAAGAAATGAAAAGCAATGACGCTTCACTTTTCTGAGACGAGGCACCTGAGGAGAGGACGGAATTTCTGCCGAAAAGGATGCCAGAACCCGACATGAAAATTTTCTTGGCCATTGTGAAAATTCTACCAAGCATGGGACTTAGGTCAAGAAATCCTTAGTAACATACAATTGTGTCTGTATTTCTCACCTTCAAGTAAGTTTTTCACCCCTTTTCTAAGGTCAATGGAATGACTAAGGTAAGAAACTGAGGCCTAACCAAGTCTTTCCACGCCTGCACCCAAAGCATCTTTTCAGGCATCCAGATGCTGTGCATCCAGAGAGCAGATGTTGCTACCACAGACTGGCTGCCGAGAGAGGAGGGAACGGCCTGTACATAGGTACATGGCTAGCGCCACGGGACCTCAAACTGTGCCGGCTAAGCCATTTTCCTCCTCAACTAACTTCATACGCTCAAGGATTTCAGTAAAGCCTCACAATTTTGGACTATCTGGAAAGCGAGTATGCTTCAATAAAAAGATTTTTTTGAAAGTAAAAAATTTCAGAGTGCTAAGGAATCACACAGGAAATTGTGTGTGTGTGTGTGTGTGTGCATGTGTGTGTGGTTTAAGTGGAGACTTAGGGCTGTGACCATAATCACTTTTCTGCTATGTCACATGCCATCCTTGTTGCAGTACTTTTCAAGCACTTGGGACAGTCATTCCCTCCTGCTCTGTCCTCAGGCCATCTGCCCTCTCACATACATCAGTGTGGTGTGCTTATGCTTCTAGCCCTCTGTCACCATGGTGAAGCTGGGTCACTCTGAAGAGAACCCAGGAAGCCCCAGGTGGAGGTGATGGGGGGGCAGGAAGGTGAGAGATGATGACCAACCAGCTTAACTGTGTGCAGAGGCACTGTGTCCCCTGCAGACTGGGACCACTTGGCAATCTTGCACGGTCTTCTGGGAGAAGTGGTTACTGGTGATGTCATTGATGTATTTGTTGTGCTAGCTAGAGTGTGGAGCCATCCAGCCTTTCCCGTGGGAGCGTACCCTGACCTCGGGAATGGGTAAGAGGTGGTGCTAGCCCTGCAGCCCTCCCTATGGAGTTGATGTCAGACTGGCCTACTTCCTAATCAGCCAAAGTCTCCGACTCAGCCCTTCTCAGCTCTCCACTCCCTTTCTCCAACACAGATCCGTTCGCCCTGTGCCAGGAGTCTCTAAACTCAGAGGGTTCATTCCCAACAAGGGACAGGTTAGTTCTCTAATCTGATTACTGTGTGACCTTGTGCAAGTCAGTTCCCTTCTCTGGCTCTCATGTCCTTGGACCAGAATATTTGAATCTTCCTGCAGCTCTAGTCTCCAATAGAAAGACTATGATTCATGCATGTGAATGTGTAGCAGGGAACACTCCCTTTGAGCCCATGGGCCCCCTAATTCCAAACGCCTGGCTTGTGACAGACCAGGACTGTCTTCGTTTGCTTGGTGGGGAATAATGAAGTCTTTCCTCTTCTATTAACAGAATGACAAACAGGAAGTTATCAGAACAAGGCAAATAAAAAAGTTACAATATTTCAGAGCCGGTAGCAAATACATAAAAAGACCACACAGAGGGGGGAAATTTCTATCAGATGGAGCGAGACAACATATAATTTCTAAAACAGGGAGAAATGTAAGAAGTGCTCAGTAAGGAAAATCTTAAAAATAATCTACATGGGAATTCAATCTTTGGAAACTGAGGAAAAAAAATTGGTAGGGAAGTTATTTGTCAGAACTGGAAAAGAAAGGCATCTGTAAACTCTAGTCTTCCAGATTCACAGCTTTGAGCTGAAAGTTGGTTGCTGCTTTACTGACCAAGACTTTTGGAAATTTTTGGAGCATCAAGAAAGGAAGTTTCAATTCTCTATTTGCCACTCTTATTTTGAGGAAGGCTTTCTCTTGTTTGAGGACAGTTGACAAGGCTGGGTTCCTGTGTTCTAGGTGGGCAGTGTCTGTACTGGCCTCCTTAATGCAGCACAGACTCCCTCCCCTGGGAGTGCCAGCAAGGAAGACTAACTGGCCCGGTTTGCCCAGGACTGAGGGTCTTTCAGTGCTAAAACAGAGACAGCCCCTGGTAAATGAGGGCAAGTTGGTCACCCAGGAGCCAGCCAGCCGGCTTAGATCCTATGCATATACCAACAGCCCCAGACTACAATTTCCCTTGAGAAATGCATATCCAAATGGGATGGCCAAGAATACTCTGTGCTACGTTGCGTCAAAAGCTTACCCTTCCCTCCGGTGCCATTAGGATCCAGTGAGAGAGCTTTGGGGGTTCCCGGCAGAGGGGTGCAGGGGATGGTGGTCCCTTATACCCACACACCGAAGCCCCTCGTTCACCTCTGCTCCTCTCTCAACCTTTGTGTGCAGTTGTACTTTTTGAGGGAACGGCGCTTTAGCCACCCAGTGTGGCAAATTACCAACATTGTCCCTAAACCAGCGATTTCCTTCTTCTCTGCCACGTAGCCAAGGTGTAAATGCTCCAGGTCCCCTGACAGCCCAGCTAAAAGGTTTTCCTGTCAGGCCAGCAAAACCAGGGTGAGGTGTGGCCCTCAAAAGCTCTCTTCCCCTATGGCCCTTTGGTCCATACTGCTGGAGTCTTTGTGGTTCCCAGAAAATAAAGACAGCTGCCACGGGACCTCCAATTCCTAGTCCTTTGCTTCCAGTTTTGCAGGCAGAAGCCCTGTCATTCTGCTCAATTAACCCATCCTCAATGCTACCAGTCACCACCATGTCTTTTTAGGATTCTTTTATATAAATAAAAACGCTACCTTCTTTCAGAATAGCTTCATTCTAAGATCAATAATACGATTAGCCATCTATACATTGCCTTGCTTGTAGGGATTTGTTCCCATGTTACTTCCTCCTAGGCCTTTTGTGAAAACCACACCAGAACGATAACAAGGAAGCGTCTCTTGCACAGCTGTGGGGCGTTCTGGGCTACAGGTGCCCGCCCTGCCCCTCTCCCTCCACCACAGACCACCCCGTTCTACTCCACTCCACTCCCCCCACCCCACCACACAGAACCTCGGCTCTGAGAGGGAACCCCCTATTCTAGGGGTGCTGAGGTCCTGGTATCTGAAGTTAAAAATGTGGAAAACATTTTCCTAGGGAAGAAATCTAACACAAGATGGTCAGATGCAGCGGAACAATTACCAGTGAAATTACGCTTCAGGGACATTATGCGTCAAATGGGATTCTGTGGGCTACTTTAGTGTGTAATTTTGTGAAAGCTAACCACTGTTTTTTGTGGAAAAACCATTTCCAAATGCTGTTACTTACATTAAAATATGAAATTAAGGTTTCCTCTCTGAACTCTACCCTTTTCTTTCCCCTTGCACTTCCAGAAAACCTTATGGCTAATAACACCATAAATAGCAAGAAAAAAAATCTTACGTGATTAAAACATCAGCACAAATTATGGTTCCCTGACTGAAAAATTCCATTTGTTTCCTCTCTCACTTCCTTATCTCTCTCTGCGCCTGTCCCCTGGGTTTAGGCTCTTCCTGGCTTCGGTTCACCAGCAGATGTGTCGTTGCTCCCAGAGAGCCCAAGCCATAAGGCTGCCCCTGATCCCACAGCCTCATCCAAGTGAAACCCAGTGAGACTCGCTGCTCTGAGGACCGCCCCACCCCCATACCAGCTATTTTCCCAGAAATACCACTATTTCTTTGAGATCTACTGGCCACAGGATCATTAATAACGCCCACATTCGATTTTATGGACCCCTTTGGTTTTGGGTTTTTTAAAGAATGCATAACTCTGATCTCACTGGATCCTAAAGGCACTGGAGGGAAGGGTAAGTGGCACAGGTGTTCCAACTCACCTGGCACTCGGGGGAGAACAATCCACCCAAACCTTCACACAGGGGCTAACCAAGAACTGACTCCCGCTGTGGGGGTTCCAGGCAGAGGGGTGCAGGGGATGGTGGTCCCTTATACCCACACACCGAAGCCCCTCGTTCACCTCTGCTCCTCTCTCAACCTTTGTGTGCAGTTGTACTTTTTGAGGGAACGGCGCTTTAGCCACCCAGTGTGGCAAATTACCAACGTTGTCCCTAAACCAGCGATTTCCTTCTTCTCTGCCATGTAGCCAAGGTGTAAATGCTCCAGGTCCCCTGACAGCCCAGCTAAAAGGTTTTCCTGTCAGGCCAGCAAAAGCAGGGTGAGGTGTGGCCCCCACCTCTGTGCCTTTTCCTTCATCCGGGCTGTTCTCCCCTCTTCTCAGCGTTCCAGCCCATTTTCATGACCAAACTCCCGCCCTGGCAGCATTTCCTCACCACCACAGCCCACTCTGGTGTGCCTGGCTCCATTCTCCTGTCCACACTCACATATATGGGTATGAGAGCCATACAGACAGTTTATCATTCTTGCTCTGCGTTATGTCCTTTTATGTCTATTGGCTTCAGTTCCCCATCACACTATACATTCTTGAGTATGGAAACCACGGACCCTCCGGTAGCTCAGGAATTTTATATACTAAGAGTGATAATAAGAATAATAAAATAGATGATACATTTCCCTATGATTTGGAGTGATTGTTTTATCCATCCGCTGACAATCAGAGGCAATTTTGTGTCCTTGTTAAGACGTGTGCTCTGGAGCCAGGCTCTGGGTTTGAATCCTGGCTTTCCCACTTACTGGCTACATGACCCTGGGTGACTTTCCTAGCCTTTCTCTGCCTCAGTTTGTCTGAAAAGTGGGGATAACAATAGTGCCTGCCTCCTAGGATTAAAAGACTTAATGCATATAAAGTGCGTTGAACGCTCCCTGACACACAGCCAGCCCTCCATGCATATTAGCTACTGGTGTCATTTTTCTTTTAAACATTTACTATGTACCAGGCAATGTGCTAACGGCCTGGTGAAGGTTATCTCATATAATTCCCACAACACTGCTGTGACAGCCGTACCACGATTATCCCCACTGTACAGAAAACGAAGGCACAGCAAGGTTAAGTCACTTGCCCAAGGACACGTAGCTAGTAACATACAATCTCCCTAGAGGGTGGGGCCCGTGTCTCTCTTTGTAGGATCATGTGCCTTCCTCCTTCATCATAAAGAAATGTAAGACCATCACACCACCTTTAAGGAGATCGCGTTCTCCAGGGTTGCCAAATAGTCCTAAAGGTGACAGTGCTCATCCCTGGTCATGAAGACATCAAATGTCAGTCTTGTTCCCAGACTATTTCAGAAACAAATTTAAATGTTTTTGGAGTGAGGCCAGGGCAAGCTGGGAATGAGGGTGGCTTAAATAAAGCAAATATGAGGGCCAACATCCCAGTCCAAAGTGACCCCCTCATTACCTGCCATTTCCTTCTTGCCATGTATTTCTTCATCCGGTCCTTGGAGAGCTTCTTGGCCTCCATGTTCTTGGTGTCTTTCATTAGCCATGGATGCTGAAGGCACTGGGTGCAGTCCAGGCGGTTTCTGATGGAGGCAGAGATCAGAGGATTTCTGAGCAGGAGGGGACCTCAGAGACTGCTGGTCAAATCAGAAATGGGAGGTCACCTGTCCCCAGTCACACAGGGCTGAGCTGAGGCCTCTCTGCTCCCAGTCCATCCACCATGATCAGGATCACCGTGTTCCTGGCCTTTTCCCTCTCTTGGTCTGGGTTACACTGACTGGACCCAGAACAGGTGAGTGTTAAGAAGACCTAACCACCAAGTAAGCAAGTGGAGTCTCATGACCTGCCCTTGGGGTCTAGGAAGGTTAAGCGCTGGACAGACATTTCTGGGAATGGCTGGCACCATATTCCAGGGTGGAGTCATTCTGCTGGTCACATGGGGATTGGGGTTGGCATTGTGGAGGCCTAATCCTTCTGCCTCCTTGTCTAGTGGAGGCTAGAGTGAAACATTAGGCCCAAATCTCCAAGGACCACTGAACTCTCATGTCTTATGGTGTGGCTGACTATCAGGTTTCTCCTGTTAGAACCCAGAGGTATGTCCTACATACTACCTTAGAACTGCAGTGAAACTCATTTAATCTTTCTGAAAGCTCTGGGAATCTAGAAATATTTTAGGGCCATCGCTTTACTTGTAATAGGACTAATAAAGCCCAAAGAGCCAAATGTGAACATGTGTAGAAAACTGAGTATAAATTTGCTAAGTACACCAAACTGTAGTGATCTTTAGATAAAGGGATTGTGGATTATTTTAATTTTCTTATATTCAAATTTTCTACAATTTGCATGTGTTGATTTTATAATAGAAAAACATTTTAACAAGTGCTGATAGATGGAGACTTCTGGTTGAAGAGATGTTGAGTTTAAAGAGTTTATGGGAATCTAGTGTCTTGATCTATTTGAAATTAGTTCTTTGGTGAGTTCATTTTATGAGCACAGAGGGGCCAACACAGTTCATTACTGAATTAATTCAAGGTCAAAATAGGGTATATACACAATATCTTATTTCCCAAGTCTTCAGGGAATGAAGCTTGGTTGACAAAAGCTGCGCTCGGACCAGAGTTATTAGGAAGGAGGCGTGCATGTCCCCGAGGCACCCTTGGAGTAGGAATCCCTCATGGAAGGGAATCTAGACCCCCACAACATCCAGATTCTCCTTGGGTTACGCCTCCTTCTGATACAAAGACTGTGACAGCAAAATGCTAAAAAGACCTCCGTGACAAAGAGCGTGGAAGCCTCTGGAGGAGTTTGGCCCTGAGATGGCTAAAAAGGACTGAGAGGAGGGTAGGTGCCCAGAAAATCAGACAGAATCATTCTAAGAGACCCTCCAGCATCGCTCTTTCAGCAACTGCGCTCTCCTATCCCAAACAGGACTCCTCTCGTGGGTGAGCAAGATGACCGTCAGCCTCAGGGGTGTCTGGGGGCCAGCCAGACAGGGCAGAATCTAGGCCACAAGGTCACCTGGCGAATGCACAGCCTCCCCCTCACCCATGGAGTCAGGCTGCTCCTCCCCTTCTCATCACCTGGCGCACCACATATTTCAACATACCCTTTCCACAGTAAAGCTTATAACTGCTCCCCATTGCCAAATACAACTCCATCGGGCTCCTGGAGCCACGTCCTGCCCCATCTGGCCACCTGTTTACAGAGTGGGTCAGGAGTCCAATAGGCCAGCTGCTCTCACCTGACACCCCCACTATGTTCTCACCTGACACTCCCACTACTTCCTTCCCCTGGGGCAGGCCAGCTCTCCCTACACACACATAGCCCCCTCACCTTTGCTTTCGTTTCGCTGGCTCCTCTCATCAGGAGAGTCCTCACCAATGAATTCTGTCTAGTCGCCACCACGGCCCCCTCCACCTTCACCTCCTCTGCTCAGTCTCCTCTACAACTCCCACCTCCACTCCGCTTTCACTGACATACTGAGCGACTTGTGTGTCTGACCCTTCCTCACAGCCTTTGGCCATCTCTGTGCCTGAACACACCGGCCTCCCACTGTTCATCACTGTTTTATATATTCATCCACTGACCAGGAAGCTCCAGCAGGCAGAGGAGGGGAACCTCAATGCACTGTTACTGCGGGGACAGAGACGGAGCTGGGAGAGGGCTGAGCCCAGTGCTTCGGGATCACAGCCTGACTTTGGCCAGTGGTAGAGGGTGCCTGGCCATGTTCAGGCAGGCAGTTCTTAAATAATTTAGATATGAAAGAAACACCAAGCCAGAATAGACTGGGAATGTGATCAGGACCCACAAATAGGATACTTCCCGTGCAACCCCTAAAGAGGGGCTGAGGTTTCAGCCGGACTTCATAGGAAGATAAAAGGGGCTGTCATTATTCACATTATTCACATACAACAAGCTGCCGCCCGCCCTGCAACTCGGTCAAGCGTTGCTTTTCAAGTGAGGCTTCTGTGCTTCTAAAGATGAGTAGAGTATCTGACATCAGGGAGCAGGGGCCTAGGAAGACCCTTTCCCAGCCCCCCAACTCCCAATGCCCACCCTCCCCTCCTCAGGTGAGGAGGGACCCACGTCAGGCAAAAGAAATCCCTGCTTCCGGACACCCGTCCAGGGAGTGGGGAAGCTGAAAAGACTGAAATCTCAACTCATTACTTCATATCTTTCTTCAGCAAATTGCTGATAAAATCCTTGGCATCATCGGAGATCTCATCAAAGGCCTCGTCGTCAAAGTCCCAGGTGGCTGAGGTAACGTTGGCTAAGGTTTCGTTATCGTTGTCACCCATGAAGGGGGAAAGTCCACTGACCCTGGGAGATAAGAGCAGGAGAGCGGGTGAATGGGGGGTTGGTAGGCAGCGGAGGGTGGGAAGATCCCCCCGAGTGAGTGCTAACTGGGGTCAAAGGTGAAGGCTGACAAAGCCCTGCACCCTGAAACGCCCTCTCGCCTGTTCTCCTCCCACCACGGAAAGAAGAGAGGGTGTGGCTCCCCAGGCTTTTGTGGCTCAGCCTCTTCTCAGTGCTCACTGTACTCTTGGGTGTCACCTGCCTCCTGACACCACCTGCCTGTGAGGCTGAGGCAGAGGAATTTACTTCAGTTTCTGACTTCCACACAATATTCAGCAGGTGCCCCAACTCTTCTATTCTTCCCCACAGCCCAGGCTAGAACTTCATCCCACAGAACCCTCTCTAAGGTCCTGCGTAGAGGTGTCCCTTCCTTCCTCCCAGTGCTCCTGCCCCGCTCGCCATGGACTGGTCACACGGCACAGCCCTCAGCACTCAGCACTGCACCCATCTGCCGGCCCCCTTCCACCTCTCATCCTCATACCCTTCAGCACCCACAAGAGGGCCCAGCACACTCAGGATGCTGAGCAAAGGTGTAGCTGCATGGCAGACTTTGAATCGGCAACATGGGATTGGTGATCCATCTACACTTGAGTTCACTGAGCCTGAGGCATTTAGGCCAAACCAGAAAGCTTCCCCAGGAGGTACCACGGCAGAGGAAAGAGCACAGGTCATTTGCTGGGTGCCCTTGGACAATTTCCCTAATCTCTCCATCATGGTTTCCTCCTCTGTAAAATGGAGAACCTGCCACTTAACTACAGAGAGGTCACTGTCTCTTCTGCTTCTACTTATTCTACTTCTCCTCTTCCTCCTTTGCCCTCTCCATCACCATCATCACAGCAGCGAACATTTATCAGACATTAACTGTGTGCCTGGCCCTGGGCAAAGAGCTGAAGACGGAAGAACGCACTCAATCTTAACACCACCCTATAATACAGGCAACTCATTACTTTGTTTAACAGATGAGGAAACTGAGGTGCAGAGTGGGGTTAAGTAACTTGTCCAAGGATTCACAGTCAGTGAGATTTGAACCCCGGCATCTGTCTCGAGTGCCTGTATCTCACCTGCTACTTTACACGAATATTTCTATGAAGATGAAGTAAATTGTAGTGCAAAGCCCCGGGCACGAGGCCTGGTCCACAGTAAGGAGCCCGGTGCATGACCACAGATATCACACAGTCCTTCTGTACGCAGTTCCCCCGACTCCCTCACCAGCCTGTGATCCCAGGAATGACTCGTTTACCAACAGCACAAGCGAAATAAAATTCCGAAGGTAAAGTATCTCAAAGCCAAATAGAACAGATATATGGCTCACCGGCCTCCCCTCTCACCTCTGTGCACCTCCTTTCACACCAACCCTCCGCCCCACCGCTCACCCTGACCTGGGGCCGGCCCTGTGGGTGTGAGGCCTGCACAGCTGCACAGAGCCCCGCCCCGAGAAGGCCCCGCTGTTGGTTTAATGCTCTGCTGCTGTCACCTTGAAATTCTTAATAATGTTTGAACAAGTCGCCCTACCTTTCTATTTTGCACTGGGCCCCACAAATTATGCTGCTGGTCCTGCCCTGACCCCACCTGAGCCCCATGAGATGGATCTTGGGCCCTCATGCCATCAACCTCCCGAGTTAAGTCCTCACTAACGTCCCTTCCCCCAAATCCTTATGAACCGTCATCGTAAACAACAACACGAACCCTTCTGGAGCTGTTTTAGCATCAAGAGGCCTCGCTTACGAAATTATATCCATACCTGAAAACTAAATATTGTAAACCAAAACCCAATGAAATATTCTAAGGAAAGCTTGCTACTGGGAGGAACCCTCTGATGAAAACTTTTGTAAAAAGAAGAAAGCGTTTACAATGCAAATTATATCCCCCAATCAATATATTTGTGTTTTTAGTAATCACTTTTTGTAGATGGCATTAATGGGTCTAAAAGCAAGACACTGACCTACGTTTTAAGGAGGCATGGAGAGAATCACTCTCGGTCACGTCACAATGAGGGAAGGGCGGGAGCTTATTAGTTGCCGCGTCTGCATTGTCATATGCGACTCCTTTCCATTCTCTGGGCCTCAGCTTCCCCTTTTATACGCCAAGGATAGGGTAGAATTCCTAGGGGCTCCCAGCTTTCCCTGTCTCTGTGTGGCCTAAGCGAGCCCCACCGAGAAGCAGCCTGACTCCTGCTTGTCACTACCTGCTTCCTTCTGTCTCCACATTTTCCACTTGGAACAGAGAAGCGGGGAAGTCCAGCAGCACGGCAGAAGGCTGCAGGGGAATAAGCACACAGCCTGCTGTGGAATGCGAAAGGTCCCCCTCTGTAAACCTCCTTTCCTAATTAGGAGCTATAATCCTGCAAAGATAGGGCTTAATCTCTGTAATGATCACAGGCGGGGAGAGTCCCCTGGCCTCTGGCGCTCTTCCCTCCTGGCAGCCCAACCCTCTGAAACACCCCCTGGGCTTCGGCTGGCTCCTGGCCCGCCTCAGCTCCCCCAGCATTTCCCCCATGACGGAGGACGTCTCCAAAGTGAAACTTGGAATATATGCAGAGCATGATGACAAAGAGAGCATCTGAATTTTAGTAACGCTGTTTCTAGGTGGTGGGTTTTTGCAGGATCTTTTTTAGACTTTCTTTTTTGGACTTTTTCTTTATTGCTGGCATTTGCATAAGGATCATGTGTCTTCTTACCAAAAAAAAATCAACCCAATCAACAAACACAATACCCTTAGCATTAAAAACACAACTACTCGCCTCTCCCCTTCGTCTTATCTAGTTTTGAACTGAAGGGGATCAGAGGAAGCCACTCCAAAATCTTTGGCGTCAGGATTATTTTGAGCTGAAGGCAATTAGATCTCTGCCCTCCCACTTTCTGTCTAAAAGCAGGACATAAGCTTCTCTTTGGTAAGGTCACATAAATTCCCACTTGTAAAGGTGTTTGCCTCTTCCATACCAGGAAGCGGAGAAAGACTCTTACCAAACCTTGCTAAACAACCCTCATTTATCCTACATTTCCTAGTCATTTTCTCATAATTTACCCACTCCAGAAGCCCCAAACCCCTTTTCCTTTGTCTAGTTATTTCTTTACAATTTATCATTCTTTATTAAAATTGTATATAAGCCCCAAATTCTAAATGCCTCCTTGAGTCATGTATCTTTGTGAACTCCTGTGTACGAGTACATAATTGAATCTGTTTTTACTTCTTGTTAATCTGTCTTTTGTCAGTTTGATTTGCAGACCCCCAAGATCAGAACCTAAGAGGGCAGAGGAAAGTTTCTTCCTCCCCAACATAACCAGAGGATTGATCTGGTTTTCACAAAGCCAGTGTGGGCAGGTTCTTGGACACTCAACTTTGTCTTCACTGCCATTGTCTTTCTCAAGTGTGTCACACAGTCTTCCTGTGAATTTTGAATGGCTCAACATTGGTCTTTGTGTTGACAAATCACAAAAGTCACACCTGCAGGGTGTTCTAATTTCTTAACCCTTAATTTCTAACTGCAGCAAAACTTCGCCCAGGGAATCTGACGTGGAAGACTGTTCTGCTTGCAGGGCAGAGAGAAAGAAGGGCACAGAAATGCCTCTCAAACCACACTTTCTCCTCGGTGTTTTTCAAGTAGCAGCAGACCCTCCGCATGAAAGGCCAGCCGAGGGGACCACACATATGCCAGCAGAACTACTGAGTGCCTAGAAAGGGGTTGGTCTTTCATCCCATTTTACCCTTCAGATGCTCCTCCCCTGGTGTGGAAGATAGGAGAGGCGTGGGCAGGTCCCACAGGAAGGGCTGGGGATTGCTTTGTGCAGTGGCCTAGGAGGCAGAGGCCAGGGTTTGGTCACACTAACCTCAGCCCAAGTCCCTGGAGAGCAAAACCTGGAGGTGGTGGCTGGGCCTGGTGTGGACACAAGACACCTGGAGGTCACAGGAACTGGATCAGAGTGCGTCTGGCTCAGTGGTGGGGAGGGCAGAAGCAGCCCTGGGTGGGGCTACCGGATGCCTCTGAAGGGCCCTGCATGCAAACTGGAGTCTGACTGAGTAGGTACCCAATGCTTGGATATCGGGACTCCTCACTGGGCTGCTGTGTCCAGAAGTTAGACTCCAGGTGGGCATGGCCCCGGCTCTCTGGACCGTGGTAGGTGCTCAACAAATGAGCTGAAATGGGAAGTCTGTCACTGAGCCAGTAGCAAGATGGTCAGGAGGCGAGAGCAGAGCAATATTTGCTCTTCACCTTGGTTTGGGGGAGGGGAGGGAGAGAGGGAGTTCTGAAATAGGGACGAGGGCAGGGCACAGAGCAGGGTTTTGGGGTCCCCACAGGCAGTGAGGGAACACCAAGTCCTCAGGAAATAGGGGAGAGGGAGGCAAGAGAGGGAAGGAGGTCTTAGAAAAGGAGGCTTGGAATGTCCTCCGTGATGAAGGGAGGTGGGAGCATCCCAGGCTTCTCTCCTGCCAGAAACCAAATGGGTATGGCTAATCCCAGAAGAGCCTCCAGGAGATTCATGAGATCTACCACCTCCCTTCAGAGTCAGGGGTGAGAGGGCGGGGGCCCACAACCCCACCTGCTGCATCTCTCTCCTGCCTGGAAAACCCAGGCAGGCAGTGGGGTCAGGGTCTGCAGTGCTGGGGCAGGAACTGCGCTGATCTCTCCAAAGGGTTGAAGAAGGAGTTCTTCCAACAGAGTCAGAGCCACCACAGTGACAGAGCAGGTCGCTTAGGAGGCACGCACCAAATACATGTTGAATAACAAATGAGCTATCACCTGTTCCCCTCCAACTCCCCGGCCTCCCATCTCTCACTGGCCCCAGAAAGGAGATCGGGGATAGGTTCTCCGGAACAAACGTGGACGGTGGCCCCGACACGGACTGTCAGGCAGACAACCAAGCTCCAAAGAGTGGCACAAAAGAATCTCTTCTGGGGGCTTCCAGCTGCTCCAGAATTTTTCAAGGCAGGAACTGAAAGGAAGTGCTCTGGCTGGCTGCAACTTTTGTTTTTGGCACCACATGTTCTGCTGAGGGAGAGGACTCCCAGACCTGAATGCCCACTGTGACAGCCAGCCCAGAAGAGTCCCAGAGGGCAGAGCAGCTCCCCGTGGTGGGTGCAGGAGAGAGGATGCTGTGCAGGGCTGACCTGTGTCTGTCACCTGCTTCCCTGAGCCAGACACACACCTCTCCCCATCCTGGCCTCCCCCTGCCAGAAGATCTTCGGGCTGGTGCACCATTCATCAAAGTCATTTTCTCCTCATTTCAAAGAGGTCTTTCCTATTTCTTGGTCTTAGCTTTAAGAGTAATCTAGTGAACAATATAACATATTATTCAAATTACTATGTTCCTCCACTTAAAAGAATTTTCATTTTAGGGGCCCGCTCCGTGGCTGAGTGGTTAAGTTTGTGCGCTCCGCTGCAGCGGCCCAGGGTTCGGATCCTGGGCGCGGACATGGCACCGCTCGTCAGGCCATGTTGAGGCGGTGTCCCACATCCCACAACTAAAAGGACCTGCAACTAAGATATACAACTATGTACGGGGGGGTGGGGTGGGAAATAAAGATTGGCAACAGTTGTTAACCCAGGTGCCAATCCTTAAAAAAAAAAAAAAGAATTTTCATTTTAAAATAAAGTGCTCTTATGAGCCAGTAATTCTAGTCTAGATCAGGTATCCAACAGAAATGCATTAATGTATCCACTAAAACACAGGCACCAGAATACCTGTAATACACCAAACTGGGATCTACTGACAAGCCCATCAGCGTAGAATGGATGAATAAATTGATGACGTTCACACAGTAGAGTACTATGCAGCACCGAGAATGACAAGCCATAACTAACTACACACAATAATGTGGATGAATCTCACAAACAACGTTGAGCAAAAGAAGCCAGGCACTTCTTTCTCTATTACTCTTTGGTTTACATAAAGTTTAAGAACAGGCAAAACTAAGGCATGACATTAGACATGAGGACGATGATTATCTCTGAGGGATAGGAACCGAGAGGGGCACTGGCAGGGCTGCAGGGGGCCCTGATGGCATTCGGTTTCTTGATCTGGGGTAGGTTACATGGGTGGTTCATTGTGAAAATATACTGAGCAGTCTGGTCACTTCCCTGTCCCTGACCAGTTGAGTGACCAACTGCCCTGGTTTGCCTGAGACTTTCCTTGCCTTAGCACTGAAAGCCCTGTGTCCTGGGAAATCCATAAGTCCTGGGTGAACTGGCATGGCGGTCACCCTCTAGGACATGGGAAATGGGTGGCTGTGTGGGTTTCCTTGGCCCGAGTTACCTCAATGCCAAATGAAGATCGAATCCCCGCCACAAGCCATCTCCCAGGTTTGTTGTGAGGATTAAACAAGAGCCTAGGTAGAAATCCATGGCTGCAGACATTCCCAATCCCACAGCAGTGGGAAAGCAACTGGGGACAGTGAGGCAAATCTCAATGATGGCTGCAGACAGACCCAGGAACCAAGCCGGGCCGCGGGACAGCTGGGTCTGAACAGCCGAGCTGACCAAAGACTGTTTCTCAAGGGTCAGGTGTCTCCCCAGGGGCCACAGATCCAGTGGGAACACCATCCAGCCTGGGTCAGCCCCAGAAGGGATGAGCTGGGCCCATTCTTCCTTACTCACCAAGGGAGCCAGGAGTACAGAATCAGGTGCCATTTTCTTTACTTATCAGCTCCCTTTCTGCTGGAGTGGGGCCAGGGTCGGGGGGGTGCTGTGGCAGGGGGTGGGCTGGGTAGGGAAAGGCAGGGAAGTCCACTCCTGGCCAGGGAGTTTCTTCTTGACTGCTCCAGGGGGAGGCTGTGGTAGTCAGGGTGACCCCAGGCAGGGAAGAAGATGACCCTCTGGGGTACAGAACCCGTGACACAGGCTCAACCGTGGGAGACTGTCTTAACAGGCCACAGTGAGAGTAAAACTCCTGAGCACGTGAAAAAGCCACACCGCACACCCGACTCCGGCTAACGCTTTTGTAACAGTGCTTCCTACACCTGGCTCGGCAGCAAAATCACCTGGACTGTTTCTCACACTGGGGTCTGAAGACCCCAGGGGTCTAAGAAAGTATTCTTAGAGATCCTCTTCAAGTTTTCTATGAAATGTTTAATTTTTCCTTTTGTAGTGTCAACCAAAAATATTTTTTCAAACTGAAAGCATGCCTATCTGCCTCTTCTGGGAGGCCAGCCCACGCTCCGTGTTGCCACACAAGTTCAGCCTCAGGCGCTGCCTCTGAGGCTGATGACCATCTGCAGCCTGGGTGACTCCGTCAGCGCGATCCCACCCACAGTGTGCGTCCCAGAGCCTCAGAGCACATCCTTGGATCAGCACCTCTGGCCACCTGGCTCCTCTCACAAATGTGGAATCTCAGGGCCCCCACACCTTCTGAGTCAGAACCTGCAATTTAAGGCAAGCCCTAGGGGATTTATGCCTATTAAAGTTTGCAAAGCACTGGTCTAGATTACTGGCCTCTCCTTTCTTCTCCAGCATTAACTGAAATGGCTGTGTATTTTCCACCTGATTTCCCAAGTCTAATTACGGTGTGGCTTTCTGTTGTCTGTTGGCCCTGCTGAGGGCTCTGTCATCAAAAGTGCTTATTAATCAGTCCATATACTGGACTCGGAGACAAGGCTGGCAGTTGGAGTCCCCCTCCCATGAAGATGGGGGTGCTGCCTTGGAAAACAATGATGATGCCCACAGGAGAAGTGCACCTGGGCTCCCTCCCTCCTCCGTGGACCCTACAGACTTACACACCTCAAGGTAACTTCTGTGATACCAGCCACATTCACACCCTCCTGACTAAAGGCCCCAGGCTGGCCAGCATCAGGGAGGGTGAGGATGGGGATCCTGTGTGTGGAGCTAGAGGCTCCAATGGAAGTGTGATGTGGGCTGCTGACCTCATCAGCAGCACAGGAGCAGGGCAGGCTGGTGGGGAAGGAGGTGGGAGCCTGTGGCTCTCCTAAGTCTGGGGCAGGCTCTCCCCAGCTTGACCCACCCTGGCCTTCAAGGTCAGGGCAGCCTGGGGACCCTCCTGTGGGACTCTGCCCCCTCCCCTCTGTGCCCCGAGACTCACAGGATGTAGCAGATGACCCCGATGCTCCACATGTCTGTAGCGTAGCTGATGGGCTCATAGTTGATCACTTCAGGTGCCACAAACTCTGGGGTGCCAAAAAGGACCTTCAGAGACCCGGCATTCTCTGTAACCAGGATGGAGATGGATCAGTTGCCCGGAACAGCCCGGACCCAGCTCACGGTAAGCGGCTGCCCTCATCTGTGTGTTGGGCTCAACCCCAGAGGGACACAGACAAGGCTCGGTCCTCGGTGGCTCTGTCCTTGGAGAATGGCACAGAGACACTCAGCCTCCTGTGAAACCTCAAATGTCCTGAACTGGGGGTGGGGGGGGGATGGGAGAAGAGGCTGTTAAAGTCCCTGCCCCTGCCAGTCGTTGGTGCATCTGTCCCTCCCAGGAGCCCCCTGAGGCAGGGCTTGTGACGTGCACCTGGTAATGATCTCACACACTCTCTAAGTCCCATGCACCTGCTATCTGCTTCACAGGATTTTCCTGTGTAACACTCTCGACAACCCTGAGAGGAAGGGAGGACCCCCTTGCTCCTGAGGAGGAAAGGGAGGCTCAGGGCAGTGGAGTGATTTAGTTAGCGGTGGCCAGTACCTACACCGGGGTTCCGACCCCTGCGCCATGCCCCCCAACTCCACTGCCTCTCCATGTGTGGCCTCACGTCTCTCCTGGGCACTGCCGGGAGGAGAGTCGGGGAAAACCATAACCAAGGTGGGGCCTCTGCGCCACACCAGACAGAGGGCCCAGGTGGTATGCACACAGGTACCAGCTCCTGGAGGACCTCAGTGGCGGTGGGGGGCATACCTTTGCCTGTGCACCGCACCTGGTCTTGTCTTACCCCAGAGCCCACAGCAAATGCCACAACAAAGCATTTCACAGCCCTCAGATGCGGAAGCTCTGCTCCCACTCCAACGTAAACTCTTCCTGCTACATTTTAACCCTCCCGGTGCTCTGGTCCTTAGTGGACACCACTGTCCCCACCTGTCCCCTCTCCAGGGAGCCTGCACCTTGTGTCCCTTGGGCTGCGATACTGCCAGCTCCCGAGGTCAGGGGCGCCTTAGTGGTTTAAAGCATCAGTGGCTCCCGTCTGAGGCAGGATCTGTCCACCAGCCGTCGCCCCCAAACCAGGCCTTCAGCAGGAAAAAGCAGAGCAGGCGTATTTGCCCAGCCTCACAGCGCCAGCCACCGGGCAAGTCACAGCCCGGCAGGACCACACTCCTCACTTTCCTCTTTATGGCCCACGCGGCTTCCACCAGGACTGAGTGTCCTAGGAGGAGATTTACCAGGTGGCATCAGCTCCCCCCAGGGTAGTGAAAGAAAGGCCAGCTCGTGCTGGCCCTCGGGCTCCTTGTTAATAGGGTGGTGGTCAGGAGGTGGAAGGTGAAGCTATTTCTTGAATTCCTGAGACATCAAAGAGCTACCTAAGTAGGGTGGACGGAGACGGTGTGTGGCGCAGACAGTCACTGACTAAAATGACTGGGCTGGGTAAAAGGCCCCACCCGCTGTCCCCCATCACACCCCCCTCTGCGGGGCAGGAATAGCAGAGGCACTTTCGAGCATCCTGAACCAGGTCCAGGGTCCTCATTCCAGCCCCAGCACCTCCCCTGGCTCCTGGTGGGACCTGGCAGACAAAGCTACTGTGACCCTCTGTTTCCTCGTCTATAAATGGGGGCTCGTAAAGTCTGCCCTGTCCGCCTCACAGGGTCACTGTGAGAATCCCATGAGAGGAAGCATGTGGGAGTGCTCTGGCAACTGTACAGTGGGATGCAAAAGTGAGGAAGCCCCATCTCCAAGATGAGTTTTGCTGCTGAAGGCAGCAGAGTGAAAAATACAAGAGGGGATAATGATAATAACAATAATTAAAAATAAACGGCTAATACCTACATAGTGCTCACTGTGTGCGAGACACTCCTCCGATCACTCTGCCTGTGTTATCTCATTGGATCCCCTCACAGCTCTATGAGTTGGGCACTCCTAGGATGCCATTTTACAAAGGATTTGAGACCGAGAGTGACACAGCTAGCGAATGATAGGGGCAGGATTTGAACCTGAGCATCTCCATGGTTTCTGATTTTAACTTCTATCTATACATTCCCACTAATAGCCAGCGTGTGGAACACAGACAGCCACCGCCACTGCCATGGCATGTTGGTGACAACAGGAGAGGAGGATCGGCCTCACCCAGCTTCCTGGCCAGCCCAAAGTCGATGAGCTTGATCCTGGTGCCTGTCTTGTTGACACACATGATGTTCTCGGGCTTGAGGTCCAGGTGCACGATGCCCTGCTTGTGGATGTACTGCACGCCCTCTGAGATCTGCCGCATGTACTGGATGCACTCCCGCTCCGTCAGCTCGAAGTCCTCATCGATGATGCGCTCGAACAGCTCGCCCCCTGACACGCTGCAGGACAGAAGGGCGGTCAGACCACAGGGGAGTAGAAGCTGGGGTGGCGGGGAGTCTGGCCAAGGGCAGGCAGCGGGAGCAAGGACTGGCAGGAAAGCCCAGGTGTTGGGGTGCTGGGCACTTTCTGCAGGTTCCTGAGTCCCAGGCCACTGCCCTGTTATACTCGTCTCCATCTTCCATGGTGCAAAGAGAGCCCGGGCCTGCTGGTGTCCTGCTTGGGGGACCCTGCCTGCGCCCACAGAGCCGCTGGGGGATTCAGGGAAGTGTCTGGGCTGGGCGGTTTCAGAGATTGTCATGAACTGAGGGATCCAGACAAGATCTCCTTAGGAACAAGGGTAACCGCCGGGCAGCCTCCTTCTCCCAAATGACTACCGATGGGTAAGGGATCATTCTTATACTTCAGCCGTGTCTTTTAGTCGTAGAGAACTAAGGCTTAAAATACTCACAGTGCCCATAAGCATTTGTTTTGCACAGCCGGGAACAGAAAAATATCTTTGATAATAAGGAGCCTCAGCACATTTTCTACAATCTGTTGGCTGTAACCCACTCTCCTTCCAGCTGTGATGGATTTGTCTCCCCTGGCTGGGCCGACAGCATCAGTTCCTTCCTTTCAGTCATAACTAACGTGTCTTGCCTGCTCCCTAGGGCAGTCTGGCAGCGCAGTATATACTTCCTGCATGCATGGACTTTGGACCCTGGCCATGGTGTTTCTGGGACCCACAGTGGGCATCTTCTGGTAAGGACTGCCCCAGAGGCTGCAGCCCGCCGGCATACTGCCCTTCAGTGCAAATGCACGGCTTCGCTGCCTGAGTTGCATAGGCTCTCTCTGTTCCCCTGTCCCAGCCCTCTGACCCACCCTCCTTGCTCGCTGCTCAGAAAGTTTTAAGCATCTCCTTCGTAACTTATGTAGCATCCAGACATCAGTAAGCTCTTTCCTACAATGGTCTGTAGATTTGCCAGCTGAAAAGGCTGGGTGGGCTTCATTCTGAGCCTGTCCTCTTCCAAGGACCTTCTCTCTTCTAAGGGGAGTCATCATGAAGAAGGGAGAGAGCTGAGTTTGAATCCTATCTCTTCTTTTTACAAGCTGTGTGACCTTGGGCACGTTAGTTAATCTTTCTGAGCCTCAGTTTCCTTATCTGTCCCTACGTCATAGAGTTGTTAGGAATCAAGGAGCTTTATAAAGCATCATGACTGACACACAATAGGTGCTCAGCACGCATTAAACCTCATTTGACAACCTGCAGAGCACCAAGAGGATCTTATCATAGATTCTGGAGGGAGAGACAGACAGGGACGCACCATGGGGCCCAGCACACCACAGCCTCTGTCTGCCTCCATTACCACAGGACAACCGCTTTCACTTCTGGAAGGGCCGAGCTGGGGAAGGTCAGTCTGCGCCACTGGCCACTGGAGGGCGCTGGAACCAAAGCTTTAGAACCAACTGAGCAGGAGGTCCCTGGGCGGCCAGCAGGGGGCGGCCAGCAGGGGGCGGCCAGCAGGGGGCGCCTCGCCCTCCAGCCCTCCGTTTCGACCGCTCTCCACCGAGGGAGGCTCCAAGTCAAACTCAGCCCCATTGTCAGTTCTCAGGTGATTCTTAGTATCTCTGTGCGTCAATATTCTCATCTCCTAGATGCAGATAAAAGCAGCACCCCCTCACAGGGCTGCTGTGAAGACTGAGTGAGTCAATGCAAGCAAAGTGCTTAGAAGAGTTCCTGGCACTTAGTAAGTACTCAATAGTGTTAATTATCAATACTTTTTTTTTTTTTTTTTAAGAATCCCTTGGGGCTCTTGAAAATACAGATTCCCCACCTTCTTCCCTTGGGAGGGATCTGAGTATCCACATTTTTAATAAACACCCCAGCTCCTTGTTATGACCAGGCAAGTGTGGGAAACACTGGCTTACTCAATTCCCACCCCAGGAGGCCAGCTGAAATTCTCGTCCTCTGAGAAATCACTCTAGATATCCCCATACGAGATGATGATGCTTCCCTCCCTGGGTTTCCACGGCCTGCTCTCTGTGCTTTTTGCATCGAGTCTGCTTTGTCTTAAAGTTGCTTGTGAACCTGTCTGAAAAAGGTCTGGCTCTTCTTCAGACTCTTCTTTATACCTGGCCAATATCTGCCACAAAGGGCCCCCAAGTGTTTGCTTTTAAATTCAAAATATTCTGAAGAAGCAAGAAACCATTATTTGCAGTGTCCTCAGAATGTCTGAGTGGCAGAAATCTGAGCCACGGAGATAATGACTGCTGTGTTTCTAGAGGGAACCTACTCAACAGAGGTTCAAATAGGTTCATACCTAAATATATTTAATATATTTTGAAAACCATCCCTGTGGTCCATTTTCTAGGAAGAAAGGGGTTACACAAACAGGATTAAAGGTTCTATATAGGTTTCTCTTCAAAATGTTCAGGACTATGGATGGAAAGAAGCCGCCAGCCACAGAGATGGGGTAACGCTGAGGGCCAAGACTGGGCCAGAAGAAATGTGTGCTTCCTAAATTAACTGTGAGGAAATGAATGAATGAAGGAAGGAAGGAAGGAATAAATACCTACTACCAAGGCTACCTAATCCCAAGGGATCAAATTTATCCCCCAAACCATAGGCTTGGCCAGCCCTCACTGGCAGCCAGAAGGCATGGCACTTCAGGGGACTTGGTACCAGCCACTCCTTGTCTCCTGGCAGCCAGCTAGGTGTTCTTTGATAGATTTTGCCAGTGGCAGCACCAACCTGCAACGGGCCATGGACGACTCGGCCTAAACTGCAAGTCCACTTCTGTGTTCTGGGTCCCACCACTTGGAATGTCCTGAGCACTCCCAAAAGGACAAGCCCAGACTCCAGGCCAGGAGCCTGAAGGGACCCTTGTCTCTGAGCAATGCTGCTATGGCGATGGGGGCCTGTCAGTCATCAGAGGTCAGCATGGCTGAAGACACATTAATTCTGATTTCTCACAGCATCTGAGGCAGCTGAACTGGAGGCTGGGACCCTGGAATACATTTTCCTTTTTCCGAATCACCAGGCATGGTCCTCCTCTTAACCTCCGTTTCTCCATCAAACAAGGAGAAGCGCAAATTGCACTGCTGAAAGCAATCTGTCCCCTCTCAGTGGCCAAGTGTGTTTAAGCTGGGATGGAAGGACAGCTGGAGGATGACCCTGCTGCCTCTTCTCTGCTTGAGTTCCTATCAAGGGGCAGACAAATCTTTTTCCCCACGTGCAGGCAAATCCTCTGGCCCCTGTGCACGGAAGACCTGCTCCTGTCCATGGGGGAGGTGTGGGCTGGAGGGATGAAAGCCAGACCAGCTGAAGCCTTCTTACATTTTCTCCCCACATTTTCCATCCAGCTTGCCAGCTCCCAATTCCAAGCTAAGTATGGTATTCTGCCCACTGGCGCTGCTGCCCGGCCTTACCCAGGCTTGGCTGCCTGCTGCCCCCTCCCTGCCCCCTCTCACGAACTTGCTCAAGGTTTAACTTCTAAAAAGAAGACGTTTCTTCACATGTCCTCGCATACCCACGCTGCCTGGACCAAGCAACCTGTTCTAGAACAAATGTGAAAGCTGTAGCCCACAGGGATATTGTGAGAAAATAATGGGTGAGGCCACAGACGTGGGCTAAGTCTTTCCTGGAAGCTGGGGAGCGAGTTTGAATTTGGGCCTGAGAACAGATTCTAAGGTATGAATGGAGATTTTCTCTGAATCTTTGACAGTTCTGCAGAATTGCAGAATTTGAGAACCCCAAGGGGTCTATTCCAAATACCTCTTCTCACTGGAAGGATTTAACAATTGCAGAATCACAGCTCAACAGTACCAGGTTTCCTGAATAGGAGAATTTGTTCCCCAATACCTAGTTGGGTGTTAAAATGCTCACAAAATAATTTTAAGTGGGAAAAGACCAGGATACAGAAAGAGTCAATGCACCATACTACTAAGAACAGCTCCCAATTATAGATCACCGTGCCTGACATACATTACTCCATTTAATCCCCATAGCATTCATGAGGTGGTTTATATCCTCTTTTCACAGTTAATAAAACTAAGGATTGGCACAGTCGAGTAGCTTATTCAGGGTCGCATAACAAATAAGAGGCTGAGCTGGGATGGAAGTGAGGTTTATCCGACTCAAGTCTGTGCTCTTAACCACCATTGCACTTCCCAGAAAACACAAACTGAAAGGAAACACAGCAAAATGGGGTGAGGGGAGAGACTCACACCTCAGGCTTGGGGATGTCTTACTGGCCTTGCCTTTCTTGGGAAAGCAAGTGAAGATGCTGACAGAGTCCTTTGCCAAGGGCTAAGATCCGTGAAGCTCAGGATGAGCAATTCAAGGATGCTGAAGGCAATTTCACAATATCTCTCAAAATTTCAAATGCACATACCCTTTGATCCAGCACTCCCACCCTTCTGGGAGTTTATCCAACAGATGTATGCAGGCATGAGTGAAAAGACGTATGCACAAGGTTACAAACACTGCTTGTTTGTAAAAGCAAAAGCCTGGAAACCATCCAACCTCCCATCAAATGAAGATTGCTTAAATAAACTGTGGCTTATGCCTGCGATGACATCCTACGGAGCTGGGAGAACGAGAAAGCTGACTAGCTACTGCTACAGGACTATCTCCAAGATAAACCACTGAATGAAAAGAAACAAAGTGTAGAGCAGTAGTAAGTACAGGCTCCCTTTGTGTTAAAATGCAGGGAAATAAGAATACATATCATATATGCTTGTATTTTCATAAGGAAGCTTTAGAGGGATACAGACAAAACCAATCAAATTGGTTACCTGTGGTGGAGGGGGTAGGAGCAGGGTAGATGGCAGACAAGAGTGGGAGTGGGACTTTTCATTGTGCATTTTCTTATATTTTTTGATGTGATTGTATCATATGTTCAAAAAAATTCAGATTAAAAAAAGGAGACTTTAAAAATACAGACACTGTGGAAGAAGGCTGGCTTACTGATGCCAGTATGTGCGTTTGTGTGTGTGCATGTGTGTGTGCATGCGTGTGTGCATATGTGTGCCAGTGGCTCAGAGGTGAGGGAAGTGGAGGACTGGGACTGGAGGAAACAATGGATTCCAGGAAAGCCTTGGCTGGAGGTCATCTGATGCATCCCCCTGTCTTCGTACAACCCAGCACAGAAAGTGCTACTCTTTGGTAAGTGGGAAGTTAAGGGGACAGACAAACATGGACAGGGGCATGCAGAGCACAGCAAGGTTACACTCCCCATCCCAAGCTCCCAGCCCTGGGCCCCCATCTCTTTTGCAGGCTAGTCAGGAGGTTGCTCTGTCACTCCCCTTCTACTCTAAAGCTACCTCTAGGTCAGAATGCCCCTGAATGAAACCAAGGAGCCTATGGAGAGCCTTGGCCCTTTCATGGGGAGATGAGGGTAAAAAGGAGGCAGCGTCCTCAAAGATCTGCCAGTTTGTTGTGGAAATGAGCAGGGGGCTGCAGCTGGGCTGGTGGTCAGTGGTCACGGCCAGTACTGCACACAGACCTGCTGCTCCGAATGGTCAGCACCTGGCCATATGGGACAGGGAGAGACGTGCACCTCACATCCCTGCCTGCAGTGCTCTCCATCTTGGGGCAGAGGGGCTGGGGTGGGACAGTGGGGGAGACACATGTGGGGCTCCCAGGCCCACGGTGCCTGGGCTGCTGGGCGGCAGGCCACTCACATCTCCAGGACCATGACGATGTTGGCCTTTTCCTCGAAGGCATCCACACACTGGACCAGCTTGGGGTGGTGGAGGCAGTTCATGATGCCGATCTCTTGCCGGATAGTCTCTTTCTCTTTTGCCGAATATGCCTTGAAGAATTTCCCTGCCCAGATTTTTCCAGTTTTCTTTTCTACAAGTCGAAAGACCTGTCCAAATTTCCCACTGCAAATGAGAGGGGGGAGGAGAGAAAAAGCACGTTTAGCTAAGCTTTCCATTATATTGAGGTTGGCAAACAGTGGCCTGTGAGTCAAATCTGGCCTGCTTCTTTTTATAAATAAAGTTTTATTGGAACACAGCCGTGCCCATTTGTATGCACAGTGTCCACGGCTGCTTTCGTGCTTCAATGGCAGAGTGGAGTAGTTGCAACATAGACCGTATGGCCCACAAAACCTAAAATATTGACTATCTGGCCCTTTACAGAAAAAGTTTTCCAGCCCCTGCTCTAGACCAATGAAGCGCTTTTCTAACACTGACAAACCTACTCTCCATCACTTGTTGACCTCAGCCTGTGCCCGGCCCACATCCCCTCCCAAACACTGTCTGCTGTTGCTGTTCTTTGAAGACTGTCATCGCCTTGGCCTGAGGCCTCAGTCTTGCTGATGGACTTCTCTGCCCTTCCCCGCAGAGGGACCCATGAAGCCAGGTTGAGAAAGTCCTTCCCAAAGACAGAGAATCTTCCAGTGGTTGCCTTCCTTCCACTCAACTCTCCAGTACTGGTCCCCTGGAGACAGCCTAGGAAGGGCCCTGCTTCCCACTGTGGGTTGACCGGGGTGTGGTGTTCCTCTGACACAATTCCCACAGACAGTACAGGCTCCTTTCAGAGCTGTTACAAGGTTGGTGTCACTCCTTTAGTTCCAGAACCCCACTGGAAATAAAAGCTGAGCCCATTCCTTTTTCTTCCGCCTCCCGTCCTCCCCCAGGGCTGGAGAGTTAGGGGGAGATGGACAGCCTTGGGTACTGCTGCTGGAGGAGAAAGCTTGGCTGCCATGAGGGCTCAGGGTTAGGGTCCACACCCCAGGAGAAGCCAGAATAAAGAATGCGGACCAAGTTCTTAAAGTGAGTGGTGATGACCAGCTGTGCGTTCCAAGGCTGTGCATTTTACTGAAGCACAAAGAGAGAACTGCTGATCAGGCTCAACCGACTTCTGTGGATCAAATGGAAGGGACCCTAAAGACAGTCTTATCTAGACCCAGTCCCCTCAGTTTAGTCATGTGTGGGTAACTGAGGCTCAGAAAACGAAGGACTTGCCCAAGGCTTTCACAGAGTTGGGCCAGCACAGAACTGCACGAACAACTCCTAAAACAGCCCGTGGTGAGCGATGCTCTCATGGAGGTGCCGACAGGGTCAGTCCCTCCTGATTCTGCAGGAATCTCAGGCTGGGGAGTTGGCAGAACCCGGGAAGAGGCAGGAAGACGAGGCACGGAATTTAACTGTGGGACTTGTGCCACCCTCACGCTGGGGCCCAGGGGCGCTTCCCACTCCACTTACGATCCTAGTCTCTCCTCGATGTCATAGAAGTCAGACACTTTTTGTTCAGTATTGACTGTCACCGTCCGGTAATCGATCTCAGGCTCCTTCTCATCTGCAGGGTGGGGGTCGGGGTGAGTGTGAGCCATCAGATCCCTCACTCACCCCCTCCACCACCTTGAGCCAACCCGAGGACAGGTGGCCAGCACTCACCATCATCTGACACCTCCACTTCGTCCTTCGGCTCTAGGGGGAGGAGACAAGGGGGTGGGCAGAGAGGACATGGTGATTAGTACTGAAGGCCTATTGAGAACAAAACCTGCTAGGGGCCTTGTCAGGCCTCAAGCTGCCCAGGAACAAGACCACCAAGCCCAGAGCTCTGGGCATTGCCACAGGATCGGTTAGTCCATGCTGTAACAAGGCCATGCGTACACCAGCAGGCACTGGCCTCCTCACCGCCCCGAGTCCCCCACCTCCCCCTGCTCCTGCCTCCATCCCTTCCTTTCTAACCGCCTGTTCTCCTAGACATACCCTTCTCACAGCTCTTCCAGTCCCTTTGATTTTCAGAACCTACACACAACTGTGACAGTCCCTTTCTGCTCCAGCTCCAAAGTCAGCAACTTATAATTGCTTCTAGTGTCCAATCCATTTATCCACTAACTGAACACTTTTTACGGAATTCCAGCAGTGTCCCAAGTCTCTTGCCAGTTATTGTGGGTAACAAAACGAAATACACAGAAGGCATGATCTCTCCTTTCCTGGGGCTTATAATTTAATCAAAGAGGCAAAAACACATATACTTGAACTATCCATTACTAATGTTATATAATCAAGTACATGATACAGCAGTACAATCTGAACACACAATGGTGGAAGGAGATGCAAAATGGGGCAAATATAAAGTCAGAGCAATTATTCCTGGAAGAAGCAGCCCTTGAGTTGTGTCTTAAAGTATATGATGGACCACAACAAGGAGGTGAATGATGTCACACAATGAAACCAACGGGTGTTCATGAGGTAGGGCAAGGAGGGACATAAGCACTGGCTGCTCAGGGATGTGTCAGGAGTGAATGAGGGACATGAGGGGACAGGCAGGTGTCTGGCAGAACACACCCACTTCAGGACTCCAGGCTTTTCTTTGCCTTGGTGTATGTTTGTCCCTAGAGGGCCACTGGCTTCTTGACCTTGGCTAAGTGCCTTCTCCTTTCTGGGCCTTAGTTTCTTCATCTGTAACAGGAAGGAGTTGCATTTCTAAGTGATTTCTAGGGTCCCTGGCTGCTCTAAATGCCATGTTTTGCGCTCCTCAGCTATGATGTGGGCTGTGTTCTGGCTGACAGATGGAGCCAAGGGAGGTTCCCTGAGGAAACAGAACAAAGACTTGAGAGAAATCAGAGGGAGGACAAGGATTTTAAAGGTGAAAGTGTGTGTGTGTGTGTGTGTGTGTGTGAAGAGGACGTGGGGGGAAGGGTGTGATTTCCTGATGCCCCCAGTACAGCAAGACTGAGAGGAAGGGACCAGGGTGTGGACAAACCTCCCAGGAGGAGACAGGGGTGGACGGGCAGGGGGTTGGTCAGACACTGCCCAGCACGGACGGTTGGGTGTGGGCACACTGAGCTCAGCAGTGCTGTGCAAGCTGCGCATTTGTGAGGGAGGTGGGGTCAGGGAGAGGGTGCAGCTCAGAGCTGTAGACAGGGAGCCCCTGTCAGGCTGAGGGCAGAACATTACTGCAACCTAAGCAAACCACCCGAGAAAAAGTAACATAGTTCCCAGACGAGATGAGTAGCCCTGCTGAAAGAGTTTGGAGGGAGTTGATAAGTGTGTGACCACGAGCTAGAGAGGATGTGCTTTGTGCAGAGTTCTAAAAACGCTATTCACCAAGTTTAGTTTTAAAAACCTAAACATGAGTGGATTGGGAGGAATATTTTGTCACAGAAATTAAATGGCCACAGCAAAATAAAAAAGGATGAGCCAGACGAGGACTCAGATTAGTGGTGGGGTTTCACAGAGACTGCCGGGATGGGAGCCTGCCTGATCGATTCTTCTAAATCACGTGTTTGAGAGTTAACAGTGACACTGTCAAATGCATAGATGACCAGGAGGCACCTGAGAGCAACGGACCTGGAAGGCACTAATGGGGTCATGTTTTCAGGGAGAATTTAATTATTCAGCCTTTCAGGGTGATGAGCCTAGGGTATTGGTTAAAACGCAAGTGAGGGAGACCAGTTCCTCAACCCACTGCTCTGGCCAACAGAATGCGTCATCAGGGAAATGGGCAGTGGCCACAAACAGGTCTTATTACTCTGCCCGTGGCAGAGCCTGGGGTCATCTGCTCCTGGCACTCTGGCTGTGGGCTCTTAGAAAGCTCTCATGGAGCTGGCGGAGGTACGGAGGGCCACTGAAAGGAATGGCTGCCATGTGAAGACAATCAGAAAAGTTTAGGCCTCTCCAGTGGGGAAAGAAGTGTAAAGCATACACGATTAAAAACAAATCATGGGGCCAGCCTGGTTTGTGTAGTGGTTAAGTTCTCACACTCTGCTTCGACAGCCTGTGGTTCACAGGTTTGGATCCCGGGCACAGACCTAGCACTGCTCATCAAGCCACACTGTGGCAGCATCCCACATAAAATAGAGGAAGATTGGCAACAGATGTTAGCTCAGGGACAATCTTCCTCACACACACAAAAAAAGTTGTAATTACCAAGGGTGAGATTAGGGTTATGCACTTTGATCAACTAATGAATACTGTAACTTGAGAGAACAATTTAGTGTTAGACCTCACAAAGGAGGAAGCCTGTAGGCATATGGAACTCATCTCAAGAGGTACCATGAGAACAATGAATAGGTTCAATAGATGTTTAGGTTAGTTCAACAATGATATTTCAAACAGGGTTTTAAGGGAAGCAAGAGATTCAAGTCACTTCGACAATCATTAATTGAGCACTTGTGGGTTTTAGAGACAAAATAATAATAATAATAACATTTACTGTCAGGAAGGCCCCATCATCCTGACCCATGGTGGCCCTGTCTGAGACTGAGGTCTGACCTGTTGAGGCATCCCTTATCTTTTTGTTTCCATGCCATACACCCTGGTGTGTAATGGCAACTGGAGTGTCCTGAGCGCAGGGCAAGCAGGCTTTCTTGGCCCGCTGTCTTTAGGAGGAATAGCCTGTCCTTCACTAGTGAAGAAGTACCAGCAGTGCTGTGAGCCCATGAGGGGCTCGCCAATGACCTGGCACCTGGGGCACTTTCTGGTTAGCCCTGAGGAGAGCACCCAGTGCTACAGCCGGCCTCTGCGGATCACTTTGACACCTGTAAGAAACTGCCGAGCAAACCTTGTCCCTCATACACCACCCCCGGTCCTCTCGTCCTGCCTCTCCCCTTGGCGATCAAGATGCAGAGCTTTCCCGACACAATGGCTGTGGGCACCCAGGTCCTTCTTAGGGAATTCACGCCTCTTCTTCCGGCTCAGTGCTATGCTGCCACCCTTCCTCCCTGTGAAACTCGGACCAAGGCTCCAGGCTGAGATGTTTCCCTCCCCCGCCCCCTTCTCGTCCTGCCTCCATTCCATTGGAGGAGAAACGGCCACAAGGGGAAGAACAGGAGATGGGGGAAGACCACAGTTCACTGCCCAAGCTCTTCAAGCATAAAGCGTTGTAGTAATGAGAGAGGTGCCCACTTGGTTACCATCCTTCCATGAGGAAGAAGCTAATTGCAGTAGGAAGGACTTCAATGAAACATTTTTAAAAATCTTCTATTTAGAAAGAGCTATGCGATCCAAGAGCTAAGTGGAAGAACTATTTGGAAGATGGTTCTGAGATATTCTGCAGACAGCTGAGTCTCAGTACCCTGGAGTGGCGTTCGGGAGATGATCAGCTGAGCCCTCGGGCCCCCGCACACAGCACATGTCCCGTGAGCCCCTTGGACAGAGCGTGATCCCTTTCCTGGGCTGAGGGCTGTTGCATGCTCAATGGGCACTAGGGGGCACCCCAGCCCAGGAGAGGGCCTCTGCTGGGCCAGCGTAGCTGTGGCCTAGGACCGGGGAGCAGCTGATCTCCCATCTTCATGCTCTGCTTCCCTGACTGCCCTCGGGGTTGCAAGGAAGCCCCAACTCTGCAAGAGGCCTCTATCACAACTGTTTGCTAACAACTCTATAGACTAGAACAAGTTAGAATTAGGAGCAAGGATGGAGCAGATTTAAGAGTGAGCTGAGTAGGGTGGGAGTAGAGTTCAAGACCTGGGTGGGATGCAAGAGAGCGAGTCCTTTCGGGGGGTGGGAGGCTCCCTTTAGTCAGGTTTAGGGGGCTGTTGGGTTAGGGATCCTAGTCTGGGGTGGCTCTGGAGCTGGATGGGGACTCCCATACTTTGTCCGCCACCATATCCCCAGTGACCCTGGCAGTGCCTGGAACACAGGAGGGGCGGAGGACACACTAGGTGAGTGAATAGAGAGTGAGGGCTGGGGTGCTAGCAGGGATGGAACTGAGAGGTCAGGATGAAGCAGAAACCAGAGCAGCTGAGGCAGAGGCAGGAGGGGCAGTGGTAGCAATGGGGAGGATGAGAACCAACATTAGCTGGGCTTAGGGGAGGGAGGGTTAATCGGCACTGCCTTTTTGACAACCACCACACCCCGCTGGCTCCAGAGAAATGACCTACCATAACCACCTATCCCATCCCTCCTCTACACATGCACACACACATGCCCAGATGTGCGCACACACCCCCCACTTCTCTGAGAGCCATTTCCCTCTTAAAGTAGAGAGGTTTGACCCACCCAGGCTTATAACTAACAAGCATCCGAGCAGTCCACAGAGGGCTTTTGCTTGGAACCCCCACCCCCGCCTCTGCTCCTCAGGCCTAATGCTTGCCAACTGTTCTGTGCCTCCTCTCCCCTTGGATAATCCAGCTGGGCCTGGGGGTGGGAACAGCTTCCAGTCTGGAAGCCCTGGGTGGCCTGGACCCCTCCCCCGGATTGCAGGCAATTTCAACATTCCCTTGGTCTGCTCCCAGCCAGGGAGGGGCCCCAGGAAGGGAGTCTGAGGACCACAGACAGGGTCAGCTGGCAGCAGGGAAGAAGGGAGAGGCCACCTGCCTGGAGCCAAGTGGTCCCAGCCCCTCCTCCCCGTAGACTGTCTGTAGCCTTGGGAGCCGCTGTCCTGGCCTCCTGGGAGCCACACCTCGCAGCTCCCGTGGCCTGTGGTCCTCTGTGGGGGGTCATCAGACATTCTACAGGTTCTCCCAGTTTACACCACAAAGGACTAGAAGCTTTCCTTTCCAGTGAACAACCATCTTCTCACTGCAATGTTCTCTCTCTTCCTGTCATTTTTCCGAGAGGTGGGGAGTCCTCTTGAACAAAGGAATATCCTAAGAACATGCAGATTGGGACTTGGTTGCCTCTCCTGGCACCCCCACTCTAACCTGCCTGCTCCCCACTTGGCTCATTTCAAAGGGGGGTTGTCAAAGGGCAGCCGATGGCCGTTTTGTTACTTTGTTTCCCCCGGGAGGTGTCTGTGAGCATCCGGTGCCCATGAAAGCAGCAACAGGCCCAGGCCTAGGCTGTCCTGGGAGTGGGGATCCGTGCCCCCACGCTGCGCACCACGGCTCTCAGGGAGACCTGCTCTCCCGTGTATTTCCAGGGCTCACTGAGTACAGGCCCCCAAAACAGGGCTGCACAGGCAAAATTGTAAATTTGGTGGTTTTCCATTGGTATCCTTCTAACTTTCTTTCTGGAGCCCTCATTTAATTTGAAAGCAAAGTTTTAATAGCTATTTTATACCTAATTTTTATAACTAAAGAGGGATATCAGATCAAAATGAGTTTCTATACTCGCGATGCTGCTGGTGTAGGGTGATTTTAGGACTTGTGCTCTATCCAGCCCCTTGGTCCTTGAGTCTCCCACAATCTTCTCTCTCTCTTACCTTTAAGCTCTCCTCTCTCCAGGAGCTCTTTCCCTTGGTGTCCCTCCACCTTCCTCTCTGCCCCCAACCTTTCCTCCATCTTAAATTCACAGCATCCTTTTTCTTCTCTTCACACGAAACTTCTTGAAATAATATTCCATATTTGTGGCCTCTCCTTCTTCCATTTATTCCTTAACCCCACGGCAACCATGTTTCCACCCTGCAGAAACTCTAGGGAATCTGCTCTTAAAGATCATTATGTATCAAACGGCTAAATCCAAATATCTTTCTGAGTCCTCATCTCTTTCATCTTTATTCAGCATTGGATGCTGTTCACTGAGCCCTCTTGCAACGTCCTCCTTCCTGTGTTTCTATAGCACAGTCCCAGCCTCCTCTAGGTCCTCTCCCGTCCCAGTCCTTTCTTTTGGTTTTGCAGGCTCCTTCATTTCCTCAACAGTGTTGACATTCTCTACTGCCCTCTCAGTGACCTCATTGATGCCCATGGCTTCAATGACCAATTAAATAGTGAAGACCCCCACATTCGTAGCTCTGGCTTAAACCTTTCTTCTGAGCTCTAGACTCAACTGTTCCACAGTTTGAAGACACCTCCCCTTGGATATACTGCAGACACCTCCATTCAACAGGACCGAGACCAGAACTCCAGTCTTGTCCCTGGCTCCCGTTACCTAACTACCAAGTCACTTAACGGAGTCAGGAAGCTGGGAGGCAGCCTGTCCTCCTCCCACAGTCGAACCAAAGGAGCACAGGCTTTGGGTCACACAGCTCTAAGTTCAAGCTTCACCTCATCATTTACAAGCTCTGCGACCTTGGGCAAGAAGCTCCACCCTCTAAAACACATTTCCCCTATCTATTAAAAAACGGGTAACACCATCATCTACTTCATTGAGTTATTAGGATGAAATGAACTGATGCACCTAAAGTGCTTAACATATTGTTAACATACAGCAAAAGTTTAGAATATATTAGCCACCACGAAGCATAATAATAAACCTCTAAATGGCTCTTGAATTTGTGTTCTGTTACCCAAGCCAGGAACTGGGAGTCATCATAAACTCTTCTAATTTTGACTTTCACCTCTCTACCCCAAAAGTCATCAAGTGTGGTCAATTCCATCTCCTGAGGCTTTAGTTCATGCCCTTACCATCCCTCCCCTGGACTACACCACAGATGCCCACCTGCTGTCTCACTGACTCCAATCCCTTCCCCTCCTCCACTCCAGGGCCTCCAACATTCATATGCATTCCTACCATGGTGGGTGGGAGGGCGGATGATGTTAAAATGAAGAAGGAACCGGGGAATGAGGGGCTGAGTCTGCCTTCCAACAAGCTCCCAGATCCCAAGGCTGCTGGTCCAGACCACATTTTGAGTAGTAAAGCTCTTCTCCCCTAATTCTCTTTCATTAAAAACCCAGATCTAATTCTATCCTATCCCCTGCCTGAAAATCTTTGACAAACTTCACAACTTTGCCTAAACTGCCCTTTCAGAGTTGCCTCCTCCTGTTCTGTCTCACACAGCATATGCCCTGGCCACATACAAGCTTCCCCAAAGGCCACCCATTTCCATCACCTTGTACCTTCGCTCATGCTGTTTCCTCTGCCAGGAACGCCTCTCCTTATCTTCCCTGCCTCTTGGAATCCTATTCCTTCTTCCAAGACTCAGAGTAAGTGTTACCTCCTCTAGGAGCCTTCCCCAACCGTCATGGCAAAATTACTCATGGCTCCTGCTGTGTCTCCTTCGCAATTTGTTCATACTGCTATAATAGCATGTAGCCCACCTCATTATAGTTAGCTGTGTACACAGTTGTCTCCTAGTTAGATTTTAACCTCCTTGTCTTATCTGTCTTTTTGTCCCAAGAACCTGACATCTAGTAGACACTCAAATATGAGTGCAAGAGAAGGAGGAAGGAGGGTGGGGAGGAGAGCTTCAGGTCTAGTGAACTCTCGCCTTCCAGGACTCTGCTCCTGATTAACACACCATCACCCTCTGGTGGCAGTGTACCAAAATTGCTGGTTCAAGTTTTTTGAAAGGTTGTCTGTGCTTCTTTTAAAGCATGGATCAGCATCACGCCTTGGAAATCAAGATCCAAAAGACTCTACCAGTCATCACTGATGTCTTCTCAGTTCCTCTGTAGCCCTCTCAGCACAGGTTTCTACACACACAAGGTAAGTCATGCACATTCATTTCAAGCCAGAGATGAAGGGAAGCCAGCCTACCCTCAGGTTTCTCTCCCACTGCTGTGAGTTCAGACTCCTGGCTCGGCTCACTGGTCCCGTACACGTTGACTGCGCGCACACGGAATTTATACTCTCGGTCAGGGAGCAGGTCCTGGACGTTAAAAGAGGTGCTGCGGCATGTGGCTAGTTCCTTCCATGTCTTGTCCACCGAGTCCCAGATCTCGACACTGTAGGACTGGACGGCACTGCCCCCATCATACGAGGAGCCGTACCAGGACAGGGTCAGCGAGGAGCTCCGGATATCAGAGGCGCAAGGTGTGCCGGCTGGGGGGTCTGGCTTGTCTGGGGATAGAGAAGCACAAAACACCCAACTCTTCAGAATAGCAGGGAAAGAAAGTTTGTGAGTTAGCTCTGTTGTGGGGGAGAAACCTAAAGAACCCAAGCTGACAGCTGACATCCTTCAACCTGGCTCTTTCCTGCATCTACAGCCACATCTATGCACAAACCCACCTATATGGCAAGCCCCACAAATACCTATTTACTTGAAAAAAACCCTCTTTTTTGGCTTGTTATACAGTCTACAAGTCATGATTTCCTGTACTCTGCCCAAATCATAAACATAGTCCTTGAGTAAACAAATCTAGGAAGCTGCCCAGAAGGCGTGGACTGCTTCTCATCAAAAATATGTCTTGAGAGAGAGTTCAATGTGTGTATGTGTGTCTCCTTCAGGCCCTAGGCTGTGACCTGTGATACAACTCAGGGCCAGTCTCCACTTTGTCTGGGATTCGGGAAATGCCTGTCCCACTGAGAGGCAGAATACAGCACAGTGAACTCTGAAGTCAGACAGATCTGGGTTTGAACACAGCTCTGTCCCCATTCACCAACTGTTAACCTCTCTGTGCCTCAGTTTCCTCCCCTGTAGAATGTGGATAATAATGGCACTTGGATCACAGGGCTGTTGGGAGAAGTTCTTAGAACAGTGGCTGGTTTGAGGAGCCACTGCTGTCATCATCATCATCGTAGGAGTCTATTTCTACCTTTATAATACATAAAAAGTTACTTCTCTCCTACTTCTTTTATCCACAGAGGACTGGCATAAAATGAGATACAGAATTTCAAAAGCAAACCACAGCAGCAAATCACAACCACCCCTGTCTAAGGGCCGGAAAACGAGCAAAGGCCACAAACAAAAAGCGGCCCTTTTGGCTGGATGCCTTCCCATTCAGACCAGTAACACTAAGAACCAGTAACGCTGCCAAGTTTCAGGCCAATCACGGTGGCCAATACCGTAACGAGTTTCTTGAGTTTTGCTCATTTTATCAGTTCCTCACCTGAACAAAATTCTCCTATTTTTCAGATTTAGTTTCTGCAGGTGGTTGGTGTAGTTACAGACATCACCCCCCTAAGGCAGTCTGAAATGCAGAGCTCCCCAAACTAGCAATTAAAACCATGCTTTTATGCTATGTGCGTTTCTCAGCTCTGTGAACTCCAGCTAATTCCTTAACTTCTAAGACTAGTTTGTCTTTTTCATTTGGAAGATGGTGCCAATATGTATCTACATTTGAGGGGTTTTGCAAGCATCAAGAAAACAAACCCAGGTAAAGTACTTGGCTCCTACTCTCGCACCCCTCAGTAAGGCAGGAAGGCCAAAGAGAATTCCTACAAATGACCCTGTGCAAATGGGGAAGAAAAAAGCATTCGGCTGTGTGTGTGTATACACACATATGTGTACATATCCACATCCATATTCATTCTCACCCCCTCCCCCAAGCCCCACTCCTTCTACATTCCAGCCAAGAATGCGCTGCCCGGAAGCCGTCCATCGCCTGCAACCCAAGCCGGGACCTCACCCCGGAACATTTTGGGATTGCAACAGAGCCACTTCCCACCGTCGCGGTCACTCTGGAGGCCTCCTGTGATGGAACCACTTTCACTGGTTGTTTAATATGTTCTCTTAGAAAAACTATTTGTTCTGAAAGATATATTGTTCTTTTTAGAAATATTTCTGGTGTTGGCCAAGATGTTTATTACTCTAACCTCTCTTAGAGGCAAGTGGTTCAAGTCCTCTCAAGACCCAGCTAAAGAAGTAAAAAAGCCTAAAGAGGGATGAAAGGCAGACTCACTGCTTCCCGCAAAGAAAACCGCCTGGAAAACGTCCTGTAAGTTTATACAGTGAACGCAGATTCACTCCACTGACTGAGTTTCTTCCCTTCTGCTCCGGTCAAGAAAGGAAAACTCTGAGAAATGGGTGTTGCAGAAGAGGTAGTGTTTGTACCCCACCTGTTCCGGATGTCTCCTGGCTGAAAGAGAGAGAAGTGTCCTATGACATATGGAACCCCCTACGTTACAAGAGAAGATGCAAAATTTGGGGCAGGGGGCTTTAATTCCAAATGAAACTTCAGTGCTTTCAAGGAATTTGACAGCAAATTAAGGAGTTCAGAAAAGACCCAAGTCTAAAGTCATGGGAGACTGGAAGCCCCCCACCCCCACGCTGCCCCTAGGGTCAAGGGATGTGCCTGAGGCTTTCTGTTCTTTCCAACCTACAGAGCCCCACAGGGAGGCTGGACCAGCCGGGGATGAAAACCCTCAGAACAGAACAGATGTCCTCAGAACAGAGTGCCCGTGAGCCTTCCCTCTGTGCTTAGGGCACACTCGGTGTGGCTGGGGGACCTGGGCATGGCCTGGTGAAGCGAGGGGGGCTCAGTGTCTGGGCCCCGAGCTCCATGCTTCCTTGGAATTCTCCCATGGCTCCCTAGAGACTTGACTAACAGAATGGGAAATGCTGAGTCTGAGGGCAGGGTCTCTGATGGCACTGGCTCCAGGATTTTCTGTTTAGCAAACGTTCTTGGTCCTGGGAAAAGGGAGGATCTCATCTCTAATGCTTCTCACTAGAGGAACCACCTGGTGGTATCTATGCACCTGTGTGTTTGAAGATGATCTGTGGCTGTGCCTGACCCCACCAGGACCTCCCTTCCCTGGCACCTCAGCAGCCCACTGCAGCTTTTAGCAGAACAGCAGAGGCTACAAGGGCCCCCAGGGTCATCTACCTGGATAGTCCTGGGCCTCGGAGGCTAAGCACTTTGCTTACCAAGAATACCAAGCACGCCAATGGTAGAGCCAAGAAGAGACTCCAAAAAGTCTCCAGACTTCTGCTCCAGGGGCCTGTTACTTTCCAGGCTATCAGGCAGAATAAGATCAGGAACGCATCTTGCTGAATGCCAAGCCAGGCATTACGAAGGGAAATCTCCTGCCCTTAAAAATCAGGCAAGTTCCAAGCTCAGATGGTACTGGGGATTGCTGGGTATTTGGGGTTCTCTCTACTTTGTTTTTCTCCTTTAAAGATATACAAAGTGACCTGTTTTTCTGGTGCTGGAAGAGACACAGGAAGGAATTCACTTGGGTCTGCTGCTCTCTCCTCACCCGCTGAGACTGAGGCTAGAGGCGTAGGTATAGGCAGAGGCCCTCGGAGTATCACACAACCCTGACCCGGCTTTTAAAATATAATCATGATAAGCCTTTAAAATAGTTAAACATCACTCCTTAGGGAGAGCCTAATTTTTACTCTCATGATACCATATAATATCATATATTATATTTTATTATCATACTATCATCCTATTTTAAAAATAGGAGTCCTAGACTATCTGAAGAAAAAGTGGCACTTTGAAGAACATACAAGAAGTTGCTATGCTACTCAGAACATGCTGACCAATAGGAGTGTGTTAAACTGGCCTGATTTAGCTGGTCTGTAAATAAACGAAAGCTTCCAAAGTGTTTGAAAAGTGTCTGAAGTAGGCTAAACACTCCCTGTGTATCTCATTTACATTTACAGCTACTTGATCAACCCTGAGCAGATAACACACAGACGTCCCTAGACACACAGGTAAATCAGGGCTAAATCCAGGTTTGCTTTGGACTAATTCTAAATCCATGGGCTCTGAATGAATGTGGGTTTGCTGCGTCCATCAATGTGAGTCCTCATTTTATTGAGCAATTCTATTCTTAGCTCTGCGAGGGGGAGGCAGACAGAAAGCCCGTTCCCCTCCATTCCATTCCCCTCCCAGAACGGCATTTAACATGTTGCTCTTGCCAGCTGGCGGGCAGCCATGCAATGGCCCTGTCAGCACTGGCCGAGGAGAATGAGAAACGAAACCATAAAAGGCCAGAACTGCAGCTCGTGCAGGGGCGCTGGGGGAGGGGACTGCGTGGCACGGTGCGGAGCCGGCCCGAGCGGGGGCAGGGGCACTGGTCCCAGAGAAGCAGTTCAAAGGAGTTGACCCCAAAGTTCCCCTAGTAGGGGCAGAGGAGAGAGAACATGGAGGAAAACTGGAGACCGATGCTTGCTGACAGGCGGGGGCACGGGGCCAAATCAATACTTCAGCTACAGGTCTAAATGGAAAGGCAAACTGGGTCACCAGCACCAATGCCCCAACTCCCCAACGTGTTCCCACTCTTCAGGGGAAACGACTGCAATAAGCATCCGGAGTCACCAAAGAGAGAAAGACTGAGAAAAGGGTCCCTCCTGTCTTTTACAGATGAGAAACCTATTCCCTGACCCCTTGCTACACTGGCCTTCCCAGACTTAAAACTCTTGACCTAAGGAAACAAAAGAAAGGAGATCGGATCAATGAACTCCAGGTCAAAGGCTGTCATGTGCATGGCGTAGGAAGGCCCCAGAATGCAAAAAGACATGACCTACTACCTGTCTGTCTGTTTCGCCTGCCAAGTCGGGGCACAAAGAGCTGACCAGTTAGAAAGCTAGTTTGATGTTTCAGGAGACAGCTGACCAGGGCATGAAAGCAGCGATGGGGATGGAGAGGAAAACGTGAACTTGAGAATCAGTCTGGAGACAGACTCAACTCAATACCGGGATGTAGGAGATAAGAAAAAGGGAGTGGATTTAGGATTAGGAGGTCACGGTGACCTCAGAAGCGTGGTCCCAGCAGACTACCGGGGCGTGGAGGGGAGGCTGCAGGGAGCTGAGGAGTGCCATGGAGGTGAAGAAGCAGAATCGGAGCAGAGACTCTCCCCTCTCAGGGGGTTTGCTGCAAAGAGAGAGAGAGATGGTAAAGCATGTAGAGTGAGAGAAGACTTTGCAGGAGTATGCATGCCTTTGTGTTTGCTAAGATGGGAGAGCCTGGCAACATTTATGGGAGAAGTAGAGAAGTTGAAGAGAAGAGAGAAGGGGGTGGACTGGAGCCCCCAAGAGCCTAGAATCCAGAGCGCAGCAGAAGGGAGCAGCCTCGGGCAGGAGAAAGGGGCCACATCCAGAGCCTAGAGGGTGGAGTCAGCATGGGGACAGATATGGAGACACTATAGGTGTGGGGCTGTGAAGTTGAGCAGGTTCATGCCTAATGCCTCCTATTTCTCAGAGAAGCGAGAGGCCAAGGCCTGCATGGTGATAAGCTATCACAGAGAATGGGAGCGGGCACTGACCAGCACTGACGCCTAGGCTGAGCCTGGACCTTGGTAGAGGCCAGCCCTCAGTCTGTGGGTTGATGTGATCTTCCTGCAATGCCCCCAAAACCAGGTGTAGGAGCAGTGAGGTTGGAAGACAGCATTGAATCAAAATAAGGATTTGCAAGGGGACTGATTTGAGGGTAGGTGGTGGACCAGAGGGAGGGGGAGTTACAGGCGCTGGCAGGAGACGGCCTGGAGTAGTGGGGCTCAGGGTCTCCAAAGGCTAGAAAGAAAGAGAAGCCAGGAGGGAATTCACAGGAAGAGGTAGACACTGTGGGGCATACGTGTGCAGAGTCTGGAGCTCTCAATAAGCATGGGGCAGAGCAACAGGGTGTGAGCAGGGAGAGAGAGAGCTGGGGGAATGGGAGGCTGTGGGAGAGAGAATGGGTGCGGAAGGGGTAGGCCCCCAGGAGATGAGGTCCTGAGACCCACCATCCTGCCTTCCCTCCCCCCATCCTCCAGGCCATCCTGTCCCCAGACTCACCCACAACAGTGAGGTTGACCTGGGCCTGCCTGCTGCCCAGCTTGTTCTCCACCAGCAGGGTGTAGCAGCCACAGTGCTCCTGGCGTGCGGCCAGGATGGTGAGCTTGCTGCCATTCTCGCTGTTCTCCACCTTGATGTGTTCGCTTTCCTGGATCTGGGGGCAGAGAGTGGGGCAGCGCTGGAGATTTGGGCCAGGAAACAAAGGGGGTTCCAATCCCCACTGTCCACTCCCTAAGGGATGCCACTGCACAAGCTGTGTGGGGCTATTGTTATTTGGACTCTGGGCTTCTCTCTCAGGCATCCAGAGCCACGTCTCCCTGAGGGGTTCCAGGCCTGGGGTGGACAGGGAGGGTGCTGAGCAGGGTTGGGGGGAATGAACTCTGAACTTGCCGCTCCACACTGGAGTGGAGGAGTGTCCTAGTCCCCCTCTGCTCCTCTGGGATGGGATGATGGGAGAACATATCTGAGCAAAGTCCCTTACTCAGCCCACCCAGGCGGGTTCTGACCTCTTCTGTGCTGCCCAATACCATAGGCACTAGCTGCATGTGGCTGCTTAAGTTTTAATTAATTAAGCGGAAACAACCCAAATGTCCATCAACCGATGAACGGATAAACAAAATGTGGTATATCCAGACAATGGAATATTATTTGGCCGTAAAAAGGAGTAAGTACTGATACACGCTACAATATGGATGAGCCCTGCAAACATCATGCTAAGTACAAAAAGCCAGAAAGAACACATTTTATATGATTCCATTTATATGAAATGCCCGGAATAGGCAAATCCAGAGACAGAAAGTAAGTTCATGGTTGCCAGGGTCCAGGGGAAGAGCAAGAATGACTGCTACTGGGTCCAGGGTTTCTTTTTTGGGGAGATGAGAATATTCTGGAATTAGATCACTGTTATGGTTGCACAAACTTGTTGAATCTACTAAAAACCACCAAATGATACACTTTAAAAGGGCGAATTGGGTGAATTTTATGGTGTGTGAATTATATCTCAACAAAGCTGTTATAACAATTTTTAATTAATTAAAATTTAAAATTCAGTTCCTCAGGTGCACCAGTCACGCTTCAAGTGCTCAACAGTCATATACAGTTGGTTAATGGCTACCATACTGGATAACAGATACAGAACATTTCCATCACTATGGAAAGTTCTGTTGGACACAGCTGGGACTTGGCTAACCGGCTCTGAAGAGGGATGAGATTCTATCTTACTTCAGACAGCCCTAGCCCAGACATAGCCTAGGACAAACATGCTTTGGGATAAGGCCAGCTTCTCTTCTTCATCTTTTGAGACCAACTCTCCTTTCCTTCTCGGTTCTAGCCTCCTATCATCTCTGGGCCTTAGGACAATTTGAAGGGTTGTAAAATAGAGCAACAGAGGGCTCAGAAGAAATCTTCATACCTTCTGTAGAGTTTCTGACCATGAGCCTGCCCACCATTCTCTGCCCATCATGCACGTGGGCATACAGTACCAATACAGGATTGGTGGAATGGCCAGGCTCCCCAAGTTTCTTTGAAAGCTAGTTGTTTGGAAATTCAAACATTTTTCCATAGGACCATTATTATAAACGGTAGCTTGATTTCTGGGCCAGTAAGCCAAAATTCTATTTAACATACAATTTATCTATCCAAATACTCAGATTCACTTTTATGCCTTCAGCATGTGGTAGTTTAAGTTGTTACCACAGATAGGGTTCAGTGGGCTGGCACGGAATCACAGAGAGCTCAGAGTCTGAGAGGTCCTGTAGGTCACTGGTTCCATTTTCTTGACTCTGAGTAGAGGTCTAACTGAGATATTAAAATCAAGTGGCGGGCATGGTGGTTTTTATTTTTTCCTTCATACTTTTCTCTATCATACAAATTGTCTATAAAGCAGGGATTATTAGTAGATTCAGAAGAAAAGGTGATTCAGAACTCGAACTGGGTGGGTGAGTGACAGATGGGTGAAGGGTCTCTCCCATTTCTAAGGCCTCTGTGATCAAGAGTGATGCTGTCTCCATTACGGCACTTCTCATCCCTTTCAGCCCAGGGGCTGTGTGAGTGGTATGCAGGCCGCTCCCCTCTGTTACTGACCTGCTTTCGGAACTTCATCCACGTACAGGTGATGGGCTGGGTGCCTGCCACTTTACCAACCAGCTCGACAGATTCTCCCGCACGCACCTTTTGGTCCTCGGGAAACTGGATGATCTGTGGGGGCATGGCTGGGAGAGGACAGTGAGAAAGTGAGCTCCGAGGCGGAAGAGGGAGCCTCAGACATTCTGTTGTCATTTGACGCTGCTGTCCACATTGGTCTGTTGCTCATCTCTCGCCTTCCGGACCCTTCAGAATAACACTGTTACTGCTCCAGAACATCTGAGCTGATGGACCCCCTTGGTTTGTTCATCTCCTTATTCTGGTTCCCTCAGAAGTGGCCCACACAATTTACATGGCAAAATTCTCCATTTGTTCATTGCTCCGGAATTTGTGTCTTACCCTAATTTTTTGAATCTACATCCTAATTCCTTTAATTAAGCAGTGCCTTGCCTTCTAACCTCCTAGAACCTGGCTGACAGGTTCAATACGGTTCACGTTCTCAAATGTCTTTCAATGGAAAACAGACAAGGTTCCATATGACAAGGACATACACAGCAGAGCATTAAAACAGCACAAAGTGGGTCATCTCCACAAGGGGCAGAGTGGAGGAGAGAGGGTTGGGCAGAATTCCGCAGATGAGATGCGAAAGTCGCTAGTACTGTGTGATACTGTCCATACAAGGGAGGCAGGAGAAAAGGCAAGTCGTACAAGAGGGTGGGGGACCAGGCTATGCAGAGGCTCTCGGGGAAAACTGGGTCTGAATAACACAGAGCTTGAGCAGGGAGCAGGGTGGTCTCCTGGGACCACATACCCAGCGGTTGGTCTAGCAGGGCAGAGGAAACACCCCTCGTGGCAGATGACTCCCTTGCCCCAAATGTGGCTGTGACCAGTTACCTGCCTTCGGAGGTGTCTTGGGGGCAGGTTTCTTTTTCACAGTTGCATCACCTGAAACAAAGGAGTTCACAGGTTATCTTCTGTCTGTTGTTTTTTCACAAAGCTCCTGAATTGTAGGAGGACGCAGTCTTGCCCACTGGCCCTTCATCTGGATACAGCCCTCATTTGAAAACTTCTTTCTGGGAATCCTACACTCTCACACAGACGACCTCATGATCAAATGAATACTAGTTTTCAGGAGGGGCTTCTGGAGGGGTCCCTGGAGCCTCCATTGAGATAAAACTCCCCAAAATGCTTATGTCTCCATTGTCCATTTCAACAATGATAACCCCAAACTCACTAGCTATTCCCCCCTCCACTACCAACTTTCAGGAAACTCAGAAAGGAAATTATGTTAGATAAACCAACTAAAATTAGCCTTTGGTGTGGATCCAAGAGTCTCAGGACTCCTTTGGGTCACAGACTGTGGACTGGTGGCTTTCATTTTTTTTTAAATGTTTGTTGAATGAATCAATGAATGAATGAACAAAGGAATGAATCAACCAATGGTCTCCTCCATTCCTGACACCACTTTCTCCAAATAACTCAAATAAGAAAAATGATCCAGACAGACTAGTTTTGCGGCACAAACCTATTCATTTGGCTAAATAACAAATGATGAATATGTAAAAATATCCTCAGCTTTCATATTTCTTTCAGGTCTTTGCCCAAATGTCATCTAACCTATTTATCCAAGTGAAATGAAAATCTAAGTGCACACAACCACCTATATGTGAATGATTATAGTGGCTTTATTTGTAATTATCAAAAACTAGGGGGCCAGCCCAGTGGTGCAGCGGTTAAGTTAGCACGTTCTGCTTTGGCGGCCCGGGCTTCGCTGGTTTGGATTCCAGGTGCAGACCCATGCACCACTCATCAACCCATGCTGTGGCAGGTGTCCCACATATAAAGTAGAGGAAAATACACATGGATGTTAGCTCAGGGCCATTCTTCCTCAGCAAAAAAGAGGACTGGTGGCAGATGTTAGCTCACGGCTAATCTTCCTCAAAAAAAAAAAAGAAAAGAAAAAACAGACACACATATGCAACTGGAAGTTATCCAAATGTCCCTTAACTTGACAATGGATGAACTGAGATACATTTATACAGTGAAATACTACTCATCAACGAAAAGGAACTATTGATACACACATGGATGAATCTCAACAATTCATCTTTCTCTTCTGCTCAGAGAAGCCAGACTCAAAGACTATGCACTGTATAATTCTATTTACATAACATTTTAGAAAAGGTAAAACTAAAGGGACAGAGGACAGATTAGCGGTTGCCAGAGGTGGGTCGGGGGAGGGGTTGACCACTAAGGAGCACAAGGACTTGTTCGAGGTGATGGAACCATATCCTGATAGTCACAGTAGTTACATGACTATATGTATTTGTCAAGACTCACAGCCCTGTGCCCTAGAAAGGGTGAATCTTACTCTATGTAAATTATGAATGAATATAACAAATGGGAACAAGGTATTTAACTAATGAGCTCTTTCCCTGTGTCAAAGAGCAACCCCCGCCCCAGCACTCCTTATCATCCTGGCTCCACTTTATTATTTTACCCCCAAGGCACTTATCACCTTCCAACACACTATATATTTACTTGTTTATTAACTCTCTCTCCTTCCCTTCTCCCTAGACTATAAGCTTTCTGAGGGCAGGGACTTTTTTTGGTCACTGCTGAATACCCATGTGCTTGGCACACAGAAGGCACTTGATAACTATTACTGAGTGAATGAGTGGGGTTAATGTTAACAATTATTCATCCAAAAAGCTTCCCCTTGGCATGTTATGGAGAAGTAGCGCTGTGTCCTGACCTGGACACGGGGCTCCTGCGTGACCACGGGAAGATTAGCTAACTCTGTGGATTATCGGTTGTGCATCCTTAAAATGGGAAGAGTGTTGCTGGCCATCTGAGTGTCCCAGAGGACTGAGGAAGGAGGTGACACCTGACAGAAGCACCCTGAGATCACAGAGCTGACGGCTACTAGTTACGTGGCAAAGCCCAGGCTGAGGCCTGCTTCCACCAAGATCACTCCAGCTCGTTGCCATTAATGACCCATCTCTCCATCTCACAGAAATTTACTGAGGGCCTACTATGTGCCAGGCATGTGCCAGTCAGTTCACACTAGTAACTTGGGTACTGAGGAGAAAACCAAACAAAGGTGAGGAATCAGGGCTTGTCCTCAAGGGCTTAAATGTCAAGATGTGTGGCCCACAGGAAATGCATTTTTTTTTTTGCCATAAAGGACATTTATGAGACAATTGGCAAAATTTGAATAAGGTCAATAAATTAGATGATAGCATTGTATCAATGCTAATTTTGTGATTTCGTATTTTGATCACCAAACTATGGTTTTATAAGACATTGTCCTTGGTTTTAGGAAATATACACTGAAGCATCTAGGTGTATAGAATACCACAAGTGCAACTTACTTTCAAATTGCTCATAAAAAGTAATATATATGTATGTGTGTGTGTGTGTAGAGAGGTAGAGGGCCAGAGAGATGGAAAGAGAGAGGGAGAGAGAATATATGATAAAGGAAAGATGGTAAAATGCTAATATTTGAGGAATCTGAGTGAAGGTATACAAGAATTATTTGTACTATTTTTACAACTTTTCTATAAGTCTAAAATTGTTTCAAAATAAAAGTTAAGTAGAAAGTTTAATCCAGCAAACATGATGTGGCTGTTCAAAAGAAGGAGAAAGAGAGAATGCTGAGGGTTGAGGAGACGGTTAGGGAGGGCTAAGAGGTGGCACCTAGCCTGGACCTGAGGACTAGCGAAGATCTGACCTGGAGAGGGGAGAAGAGCCCCATAGGTCGGGAACAGACAGCGGCTCAGACTTGAGCATCAAGGTGACGTCTGGTGAAGGTTTGTCAGAGCACAGGGCTGGTATTAGAGAGCAGTGGTGTGACGATAGTGTGACAATTTAAATTACAGAAAATAAAAAATTCAGTTCCTCAGTCACACTAGTCACATTTCAAGTGCTCAGTAACCACACGTGGTTGGTGGCTACCATATTGTGCAGACGTAGAACACTGTCATCACCACAGAAAGTTCTTGGACAGTGCCGGTCTAGAATGCTGAGTCTGAGGCCTTTGTCCTGAGTAGACGAAGAATCCTCACACAAATCGCAGTTCGACTGGGCTCAAGGACCTCTGGAGGTCTTTCCAACTCCTGGGGGACAAGGATATCCAAGTAGGAGGCGACTGCCATACTCTTGGAAGGAACTGATCAAGGTCCAGCCTCGGTAAAGGCAGCAGCAAAGAAAATACAAATAAGAGACAGAGGGAAAGTTAAAAGAATTTAGGGGCTAAACAAGAGGGAAGTACAAAGATTCCTTACTTGGATAAATGGGGAAAATTGTATTGATGGAATATGGAATTTGGGAGTGAAAGATGAGGAGTTTGGCTTGGTCCAAGTGAACGCAGTAGATGAAAGAATTTAATCCATACGTAGAAGCCCAGGATCAGAATTCTAGAGAGAGGTCGGTGGGTACTAGAAGTGAAAGATTTCGGAATCAAATGTGTAATTATGAAGGCAACTGCGAGGATGGGTCAGTTCTCTGGGGAAAAGAATGTAATGAAAGATGAGAAGGGGCCAGTGTCTGATCCCAGGTGAAGCTTACAACAAGGAGTTGGGATGAAGGAGGGGGGCTGTGGAAGGACCTCGAGAGGAGGAGGGAAGACAGTCATTGCAACCAAGGCTGGAAGAGAATGGGCCTTGGGTAGTGGGCTTCAGGTATGACCAGCATGGAGTGATGGGTGGTGTCCGAGAGGGCAGGTTCAGTGGGACAGTGGGGTCAGAAATCACCCTAGAGGAGATGCTCAAGGAAACAGGTAGGGAGTCAACTAATCCATCAAGACCTTCAGAGGTAAAGGGACAAAGAGAAAGAGGGTGGCAGAAGAGGAAAGGTCAAGCTAAGGGTTCTTCCAAGGTGAGAGAGAAAAGTAGGAGGTTTGAAAGCGGAAGGCTAGGACTCAGTGGAGAGACAGAGCCCAAAGATGCTAGTGGGGAAGAGCCTGGGAAAGCCAGATCCCTCGGGAGTGGATACAGGAGGGGATAGGGAACACCCATGACGAGCCGAGCCACAAAGCCCCTGCCCCTCTTCATCCAGGGTTCTTGGGAAGAGAGAGGGCACAACTGGAAGAGAGAGGCCCTCAAGGGAAGAAGAAAGGGCTTCTACTAAGGCCAGGATCTGACCTCCTGCAGAGAGGGAGAGCCATAGCTCAGAGGAGCTGTGTGGAGGGCTGTTACTATGGGCTTGGCTGTGTCCCCCCAAATTCGTAGTTTGAAGCCCTAACCCCTATACCTCAGAACATGACTATATTTGGAGACAGGGCCTTAAAGAGGTGATTAAGTTAAAATGAGGCCAATAGGGTGGGCCCTCGTTCAAACCAACTGGTATCCTTAGAAGAAGAGGAAATTTGGACAGACAGAGAGACACGCCAGGGAAGCACGCACAGAGGGAAGGCCAGGTGAGCACACAGGGAGAAGGCGGCCATCTGCAAGGCAAGAACAGAGGCCTCAGGAGAAACCAAACCCGCGACACCCTGATCTTGGACTTCCAGCCTCCAGAGCCATGAGATAATACATTTCCGTTGTTAAAACACCCAGTCTGCTACTTTGTTAGGGCAGCGCTAGCAGACTAACACATCTATGGATGGGCTCTGAGGGCTGGGAGGGAGGTGGACAGTCCCTGGAGTGGTGGGCCAGGAGTTAATAAGGAGCGGGCATCGGCACAGCATGAAATCAGATAACCCAAAGTCCCACACTATATTATTCTTGGCGGCTCTGGGGTAAACCTATGTTGGCTAGAAGCAGAGCCCGAACTAACACCTACCTTTCTGTCTTACAGCTAAATGGAATTATAGGCCAAAGTTTTACGTTTGTTCTATAAATTTGGAGCGTCTGCTGTTTGAATTGGTTACCATCTGAAACTGGTTTGATTCCTAACAGTAAAACCAATTTTAAATGTCAACAATGTTCTGTATACTATTCTAT